GGAGCGCCAGGGGTCAGCGGAAGGGACGGGAGAGGAGGAGTCCGAGGGGAGGAAGAGAAGGGTATCGAGGGGGGAGGCGAGCCAATCGTACTCCGAGTCAAGGGATGAGTAGAGAGAGAGCATGACGGGGAAGGGATAGAGGGGACGGGGACAAAAGGGAAGGATGAGGAGAGGGAGGGAGGATGAGAGGGAGTGAGGGAGGGAGGATGGGTGGGAGGGAGAGAGAGGAGGGAGGGAGGGAGGGAGGGAGGGAGGGAGGGAGGGAGGGAGGGAGGGAGGGAGGGAGGGAGGGAGGGAGGGAGGGAGAGTTGGCAAGGAGGGGTTATGGGGAGGGGGTGGAATCAGGGTAGGGACGAGTGAGATCCAGTATGTTGAGAGCATTAAAACCTAAGACGAAGAGGAAGAGAGACGAGCAATGAATGTTGTCATTTCAAACGTGTTAATGTCATTTTAAACGTGTTAATGTCATTTCAAACGTGTTAATGTCATTTCAAACGCGTTAATGTCATTTCAAACGCCTTTTGGGCCGCCCTTGACACGTCAAGCAGGTCAAACTCCTCAAGAACTACCAAGGAGACCTCGAACTTTTGGCTCCTCCTGACCTCCATTTCTTCAACCTGATGCAGGTATGTAGCCAGGCTCTCCTGCTCTCCTCTGACCCGAGCTCGCAGATTCCTCTGCTGGAGAGAAGGCTGGAGGCGTTTGCTTTCATCTTGTCGTTCGATGTTGAGAGTTGCCGATGTCTTCCTGTTGTTCTGACATGTTGGCGCAGTCACGCGTCAAGACGCTGAAAGTTTCGATTGACAACGTGAAGGAGGTAAGAGGGCAGGAAGGAGTTGACGGGAGATGATTTGTGAGACAGGGTTGCATTGAAGTCAGGAGGAGCGACGACCTGAAGTGAGCGATGGAATCTTATGAGGATTGAAGGATTTTGACTTGTTCCCTCCTCTCGTCTCTCTCCCCCCACTCTGCCCCTCCTTACCTCTTCTCCTTACCTCTTCTCCTTACCTCTTCTCCTCTTGTTCCCATCTTGTTCTCCTCTTGTTCTCCTCTTGTTCCCCTCTTGTTCCCCTCTTGTTCTCCTCTGCACGTCCACTCCTCCTCTTCCTCTACAGGTTCATCTTCTCCTCCATCTTGGTGCTCGGAAATACTTTGAATGAGGTAGTTCCCCCTTCCCCTCCTCCTCCTCCTCCTCCTCCTCTTCCACCTCCTCCTCCTCCTCCTCCTCCTTTCTTTCTTTCTTTCTTTCTTTCTTTCTCCTCCACAAATTGCTATCCTGCTGCTCCTTCTCCTTGCAGCAAACTTTTTCGACACCAATTCTCCTTCAATCACCACTATTCTCACCTTGTCTTTCTCCAATTGTTCAATCGCGCTCAGGGGAGCTTTGCTGGCAATGCAAGAGGGTTCAAACTCGAGAGCATCTTGAAGTTGGGTAAGAAGATAGCGTAACAGAATGATGATGATGATGATGATGATGATGATGATGATGATGATGATGATGATGATGATGATGATGATGATGATGATGATGATGATGATGATGATGATGATGGTGATGGTGGTGGTGGTGGTGGTGGTGGTGGTGGTTTTGATTCAATTCACGATGACAATGATGATAACTTATTTTGACCTTACTTGCAGGAGAGCTCAAGTCAAATGTGGGGAAACAGCCGCCTGATTTCTTCTTGTATCTTGTTGAGAAATTTCACAAAGATCGACCATGTAAATCTTTGTGTTCACTCTTTCAATCATCATTTTTGTCGGCATTCTAGCTGAGACTCGTTTTCGTTTGCAGCTCTGTTTGAGTTGGCAGAGAAATTTCAACATGTTTCGCTCGCATCTCGAGAATGTTTTGCAGATTTAGAGAAAGAGGTAAAGAGCTTCCTGTCCCTGTTTTCAGCACTCTCTCCTCTACCTCCTTCTCATCTCATCTCAGCTTTTCTCCTTTGCTTCCACCTTCTCCTCTCTCTTGCTCATTCCTTCTTCCTCCTCCTCTCTTCCTGTATTCTCTGCATCGCAATCAACTTCTTGATTTGAACTTCTCCAGTGCAATCTTCTCTTGGAAGGGATGAATAATTTGCAAGACCTCCTCAAGGTTGTACCTTCCCCTTCCCCTCCTCTCCTCTCCTCTTCCCTCCCCTTACCCTCCTCTCCTCTCCTCTTCCCTCCCCTCCCCTCCTCTCTTCTCCCTCTTCCTTTCCCATGTCCTCTCTTTACCTGACACTTCCTCCTCCTGGATGACATCATTCTGCTTCTCCCTTCCTCCCTCCCTCCCTCCCTCCCTCCCTCCCCCTTCACGGCTGCCTGCTCGTTTTCTCCTCCTCACGATCTAGCGCCCCCTCTTCACAAAGTCTTGCTTCAGGCAGGAGAGCAGGACTCTGTCTTGACGGGAGTCATCGAAGCTTTTCATTCCCGCACCTGTACCTCTTGACCTGCCTCTCTTCTCCTCTCACCCTCCCCCAGCTGAAATCCCCAGGAATCTCTCCCGCGAGCTCTGCCAAGTTCAGGTCCACAAGAGACGATGACGAGGAGGAGGAGGAGGAGGAGCAGCAGCAGCAGCAGCAGCAGCAGCAGCAGCAGCAGCAGCAGCAGCAGCAGCAGCAGCAGCAGCAGCAGCAGCAGTAGCAGCAGCAGCAGCAGCAGTAGCAGCAGCTGCAGCAGCAGCAGCAGCAGCAGCAGCAGCAGCAGCAGCAGCAGCAGCAGCAGCAGCAGCAGCAGCAGCAGCAGCAGCAGCAGCAGCAGCAGCAGCAGCAGCAGCAGGGATTAGCACTGGGAGAGAGAGCACGGGAGGGGAGTGGAGGAAGGGGGCGACTCGAGTGGGGCTGGTGGGGGTCTGCTTACCATGAGCCGTAGGAATCATTCAAGGGAGTTGCTGAGTTCCTGGCCGAGGAAGTCGATGACGGGTCAGGCCCGTTGCTGCGCTGGTGGCTGTGGACTGAAATAGAAGCAGATCCCCGGGCTCTCTCTTCAAGATCCTACACTCCTTTGTCTGTAAGCTCGAGCAGGTTTCTTGCCATCCTCTTGTTCGCTTCCGCCCGACCTCTTGCTCACCGGTTCTCTCCCCTCCTCCTCCATCTCCTTCCCTCCCCTCCTGTGCAGGAGAAGAATGCTCTGCTGCGACGGGAGGCTGAGAAAGAAGCTCGTGATCGTCGTCGTATGCAGCAGGTAGCTGAAATCTCCCTCCTTCCTCCCTCTCCTCCCTCCTCCCTCCTCCCTCCTCCCTCCCTCCCCTCCCCTCTTCTCCCTCCGGGTCTCTCAGCTTCCATCGCAGGAGCAGAGGAGAGCAGAGCTGCAGTCCTCTAAGAAGGCCTCACACAAATCTCAACGAGCGACCGCCAGTCCCGACAGGTCTCATCCTCCTGCAGAGCCAGCAGCGAGCAACGTGGAGGAGGTGATAGAGGTTTTGTCCAAGCACAGCAAGGTCGTTTGTTGTCCTCCTCGCTCCTCCCATATTATGATCCTACCTCATACTTGGCTCCCTCCCTCCTCCTTGTCCTGCCCCTCTACCTCTTCTTCCTTCCCCCTACGGTCTCGTGCTCCTCCTCCTTCCTTCTTGCTCGCCTCCTCTAGCCGAAGATGATCACCTTGCAGGTGGCAGTCCATCTGCTGAGGAACGCAAGCATGCACAGGTGACTCGATCTGCTCTGGTCTGGTCTGAAATTTCTGATGCAGCAGCGAGGAGCGAGGAGAAGAGAAATTAGTTGTGTGATAGGGAGCATGTGAACTAGTTGGAAGACAGGGCAAGACAAGACTCGAGGATCAAAGGAGGAGCCAATGGGAGAAACTTTTCTACAGTCTGTGCAGTCTCATTCTCTCTCTATTTCTCATCCTAATAGTAGTTTAAAGATTATCGTCACTGTGTTGAGTGCAATGAGAGGCCCTGAGTGGACAATCAGTCAAAGGAGGAAGGAGGGCGCGGGAATGAGGACAAGGACGAGGGAAATGCGTATGGACGTTGCTGGGGATGGGTAGCCGAGGTTTCAAAGAATGAAGAGGAAGGAAGCAGAGGAGGAGGGAGGAGGAGGAGGAAGGAAGGTAGTAGAGGAGGAGGAGGAAGAAAATAGAGGAGGAGGAAGGAAGTAGAGGAGGAGGAAGAGTGAGAGTGAGGGGTTACATGTCATAACAAGTCGGACTGCCTTCACCATTGACAAGATCTTTGACTTCAAACTTGAAGGGTTGAAGTTCACTTCCGGTGAGTTCGTGCTCCATCCGTCTGCCCATAATAATCATCTTCGTTGTCCTCCTCCTCCTCCTTTTCCTCTTCCTCTTCCTCTTCCTCCTCCTCATCATCATCGTTCTCATCGCCGTCGGTATCATCGATTTCGCTATTCATGGCATCGTTATCTGCCCTCATCTCTCCACTCACATTTGGCGAGGAAGCGATCTTCGTTCAACACCGCGATGGCATTCAGGAAGAGGAGGGAGGACAAGTAAAGATCTCCCAGAGAAAGCCCCATCCTGAGAGAAAGTCACTTCATCCTCCCATTTCTCTCTTCCACGTCCTCCCTCATCTGCTTCCCAGGCACAGAGATGCATCATATTTCATATCGGCCGATCACACGATATTCGACTTCTCCTGCTTTCGTGTGTTGTCCTGATAATCTTTATCCTTTCGTTCATGTATGCCTTCTATTTCTCGTTTCTATTTTCATTTCTCTTCGCTGATTTTCTTTTGTGTACACAAACTCCTTTGCATCTGGCGCAATCTCCTCTTCGCTTCACTTCTACTCTCTATTCTTCTCTTCTCCCTCGCGCTTCCCCATCGCCATTGCTCTTCCTCCTGCTGCTGCTCCTGCTCCTGCTCCTGCTCCTGCTCCTGCTCCTGCTCCTGCTCCTCCTGCTGCTGCTCCTGATCCTCCTCCTCTCATGCTGCTTCTTCTTCCCCCTCCTCTCATGCTGCTTCTTCACCCTCCTCCTCTCATGCTCCTCCTCCTCCTCCTCCTCTCATGCTGCATCTTCTTCCTCCTCCTCTCATGCTGCTCCTTCCTCCTCCTCCTCTGAATCCACTTCCCACCACATCGCCATTCATTTCTTGAGCATTGCGTCAACCGCATCCACATCCCCACTCGTACTCTTCCAGTCCAGTGAGTGACGGGCCGGATTCCGGGGCCGGTCCAATCGGCCCGGACCGTACCGTGCGGCCCGTCACCACTGCCAGGCTGAATGCACCCTACGGTACTGCAACCCTTCGGTACCGTGGTACTGCCTCAAGCCACGACTGCCTCACCACGGCGAGACGTTGCCGCTGGGGCCGAGCAGCAAAAAATTCACCGTTGGCATCTTTTCCCTTGTGACTTTTATTTCCAGAGCAAGTCGAACATCTCAAGTTTCATATCCGACAGCTCCTCAAGAGTTCAGCACCTTGAAGGGACTTCGTTGAACGAAGCTCGTGGCATCGAATCCAGTCGGTAAAACTTCGCAATGCTGGTTGTTGTCGAGCGAGACGACGGGAGTGCTTGCCTTGTCAATGGCGAGAGGACCTGAGACGTTGCCTTGCCTGCCAGGAACACTTTCAGCAGCCCCTTCCTCCTCCCCGCTCCTCAGTCTCCTCTCCCTCAGCCGAGCTCCCCGTAACGCATCCCCTGCTCCCCCCCCCTCCCCCCTTTCATTTCTCCTCTGCTGTCAGGGCCACTTACAAGTCGTTGTCAGTGACTTCTGCTGAGGCACCTGAGTAGATCCGAACGCCTCCCCAGCTACGGAAACAGGTGAGAAGGAGAGGAGAGGGCGAGGAGGGGAAAGGGGAGGAGGGATAACCAAAGAGGATGAGGACGTAGACGAGGAGGTCGGAAGGGCGAAGGAGGGGATCGGGGGTATGGAGGTAGGAGAAGCAAGCCCGGGCCTCACCCATTCCTCTGCATGTAGTTTCGCTTGATGATCGCATAAGTCCCCGGCTCATGGACGGTGATCCCGCTGTCCTGGTTGCTGTGGATGTAGTTTTCTTCCATCCTCAGGTGCGCCTGCAGCAAGATTGACGGAGAGGACGAGGACGCAGACGAGGAGGTCGGTGGGGAGATGGAGCATGGAGGGAAGCGAAGAAGGAGGAGGTCAAGGGTGAACGAAAGAGGACAAGAAGATGGGGGCTGCATGGAAGAGGAGTCAGGAGGGGTCAAAAGAAGCAGGAGGAGCAGGTCACGGGGATAACCTTGGCGTACACATAAACCCCATCTGAGCAGTTCTGGATGACGTTTCCTCTCAGTGACACAAACGTCCCGCTATCACTCGCCGACACTCCTCGTCCTCTGTTGTTCAGGATCTCACACTCGGTCATTTCCAGTCGCGCTCCTCCGTACACGTTGACTCCCGTCCCCTTGTTATCATGGATTTGACACCCCCGCACTATCGCATGTGCTCTGTTGTTGATGCAAAGTCCCCACGCTCCTCCCAGCATCTCACAGGCCTCGATCTCGAGGACTCCGTTCTCAACAACAAGACAATGAAAGAAGTTGGACTTGTCCTCGACTTTCAGTGATAGATTTGCTATCTTCCCTTGTTTCCCGCTGAATGTGATGGTTGTGGCATTGTCAGATATGATACAACAATCCTTAGGATCGCATCTGTGTCCTGATATTGTGATGTTCTTGGACAAGTTGATCGACTCTTTGTATTCACCTGGCCAACTGTTAGGAGATTGTGTGGATGTTCAGGTACAAGATCCATTTTTTTCCAATCTCACCTGGGGAGACGAGAATTGTGTCTCCTTCCTCCGCCATCTCCACTGCAATTGATATAGAAGGAAAATCTTCTGGAACTGTCAAGGCATCAATTTCATCAGAGCTCCAAGCAGTATTCTCAAAATTCCCTCGTGACGTCTCACATGCTTAACATCTTTTCTATCTCAGTACCATTCGCTTTTTAGCATCTAAATCTATCGTCCATCGTGAACAAATCTCTGACTGCATTGCTATCTTTGTCGTGAACAAGATTGAACTTCTTACTTCTCATCTCTTGTCTCTCTGTCTCTCTCCATCCTCTTCGCGCGCCTGCTCACCTTGGATCGTCGCTGGAATGTTCACTGCCATTGTGAAAACGGTAATGCACCCGATGTGGGTAGGGTAGTCCATAATACCCACCTGTGATTTTGTAACATATGAAGCGTTATTAATAGGGGTGCAAGCAAATACTCTTACCCCTACCCCTTGGGATGTGGGTTCAATTTTGAACTTGCGTGTAAAAGCGTGGCCCTGCTGCCGCGCCGCCTCGGAGTCAGCCTAACAGTGCCCGGCGCCGGGCCGGCGGGCCGGCCGGTCCGGACTCCGAGTCCGCCGCCGGGACCCGCCGCAGTACAGTGCCATCATAGTACTACTAGATAGTCGGACCGTCCGGAGTGCAGGCAGCCCAGGCTCAGTTTCACTAGATGTACCGTACGGTCTGTATTTATTCAAACTATTCTGTCAGATCAAACTTCCTTTTTGGACAAGACCATCTCCGTGGTTAAAGATTTTGAGTTCGCAGCAATTCGCTCCTTCTCTTTTTCAATCTTGTTCTTGCGAAGTTTGTGAACGATGACAGCTGCAAGGACGAAGAACAGCACTCCTCCGACGATGGAAGCTCCGACGATGAAGAAGAGCATCCTGTTTTGTTTGTCGATCTTGGGGAATTCGTATCTTGGTGATTTCAGTTGCATCGTCATGAACTTGTGGACCGCCGCTTCCCCTGTTGCTTTTCTGCGGGAGATTACATTGATAGCATACACGTTGTTGTTACTTTGATTCAAACCGTTGATCCCGAACTGTATTGCTCCACTGCTCAGCACCGTCAGAGCTGGTCGGGTCGTTCCATTGGAGTCTACGATGATGTCCTCTACCGCAATCCAGATCATGTCTCTGTCTCCTAAGTACGTGCTGGAGTTGGTGGAGATCTTGATTTGGCTCGCCAGGTACAAGGCCCACTCGTCCAGGCTCACAAGGTTGAACACTGTGGATTCCGGAGTGATCTTAAGGGGAGCGAACTCTCGTGGAACTTTGAGGTTCTTCGCGATCCGGCGCTTCCGGGCAGTTTCTGCAGTGTATTCTCCATTTTCATTCACTTTGCCTGCCTGCATTTCAAGGCCGCACTGCGTCCAGATCGTGTAGTAGGAGGCATTCTTCACGTGCGCATCCCAGGTGACATTCGTCTGATTCATCGCCGTCTTGAGCTTTGACACGTTGTAAGTCAGGGAGTCGCAGAAGGTTGTAAACTCTCTCGGGCAGTCCGGATAGCTGTCTGGACACGAAACACAATTTCCCTTTGATACTTTCTTGCGCAGATTGCCTCCATTGCCGTCTGAACAAGAGTCGTAGGCGCAACTGGTGTAATCGTATTGATTCGATCGGCATGGACCTGACTGCGCATAACCATCGATGTCACGTACAAGGATAGGGCAAGAAGGATTGATCGCATTCTGAATGGCAGGTGGAGATGCACAACATGATCCAGGATCCACTGAGTTCGGATCTCTGCCGACTCGATCTGTTATTTCCACTATGAAGACTGCATACTCATACAATTTTGCAACGTCCAGAACGCTCATGGTTCGATTCTCGTAATTCACTAGCCAGTAGTCCGAGGATGAGGAAGGAGGTTTCGCAGCAGTTTCTGCCGGTTGAGTTGAGGTGTTGGAAAGATTGCTCGCTGTTGCCGTTTGTGTTGTCGTCGTTGCTGTAGACAACACCGTTGTGCCATCAGTGGGAGTTGAAGTTACGTTTTGCTTGGTTCCATTCAAACCCGGAGGATACCATTGTACAGTGACATTCATTGGAACCTGCCTTGCGGTGTTTGCATCCAGCACTTGCCCTCCAGAGATTAGACCAGCAGCCAAGGAAGGCTGCACACGGACAACATTCTTGTCCCAGTTCTTCATGTTCTTTATAGGATACAGATCTTGTTGGGTCATTATTTCAGCGTCAAAATTGTGAAAGCTGATCTTGAAGGCGGAAAATCCTGAGCCCAGCGGGTTGTTCACCTCGAAGAAGTAGTTGCGATGGGTTGCATCAATGGCAAGGGACTGCACATCTCCCTGCCACTCCCAGTCTGCCTGCAGCATCTGTCCGGTGCTTTGTAGCTGAACCTTCATGGCCTCGGAGTAGTACTCCCAAACTTTGCGGTACCCGAGACTGGGGCATCCATAGACAGAAGCTGACAGTCTTGGGTAGCCGGAGCATGGCTCGAGCCTGGCAAAGATTTTGGGTTTCTCGTAGAAGACGATCTTTCGCAGCGTGGGCACGTCAAGAGTCATGTTATAACACACCCATGCTCCCGGGTTGAGCGCGCCGGGAACCGTCAGAAACGTCGTCCCATAGTCTGCCATCAGGTCAATGACCAACCTGTCTGAGAGAGTCTCGTTCTTTGCTGCGCTTGGTTGCATCGTCCCAACCAATGCGAATGCCAGGATCAGAAATTTGTATGGGCTCATGACAGGTCAATGGTTGCCTTTCAATGGGTTGGTGGGAGGAAGAGAATCCTTGTCAGACAGGATCAAGCACAGAGCATGGAGAGGATTCAGGAACAAAGAATGGAAGGATATAGAGATCAACGCCAGGAACGATATGTCTGCTTCTGATTCGGAGCGAGGTGATGGTTGATCAAGGAATGAAACAACGTCTGGGGTGTAAGATAGAGGGAGAGGTAGGAAGAGCAGGCTGCGTGAGGGATGGGATGGAAGCAGATGCTACAAGGACAGAGTTGAGGACGGAAGGCGGAGCGAGAGGGAGGAGGCGAGGGCGGAGTTGAAAAGCAGTTGAGATAAAGGTGACCGGCATCATGAACTTTTGATGAAATTACCAACCTCACATACCGAAGACATGAACTTCTAAAAAGAGAATTCACGAACTTTTCGCAGTTTACCTCCTTCCACCCACCCATGAAAGGTGCAAATAAGGGGTACAAGGCTCTGGACTACCCTCTTCCCATCTCAAGCCCCCTTGACTGCTCTATTTCGGGCATCAGTGATCTCCGGCGGAAATGGAGGAAGGGAAAATGACAGCCATGGCGGGGGGAGAGAGGTAGAGCAGAGGAGCGTCATAGGAGAGAGGGAAGGAACTTAAGATCAGAAGTGCAGAGAGGGGAAGAGGCTCGAAGAAAACAGGACAGCAAGTGATGCGATAGTGAGAGTGCAACTCTGCAGCACCAAGACAAGGGGCAGCAATGGTACTGATCAGGAGTGAGAAAAGCACCGAAAGAATGGGAGGGCAGGGGGGGGTTGAGTACAGAGCTTGAAGTTAAACCATGTTCCTAGTGGCCTCATATCAAGAAGAGCAGACGAACGATAGATCAAATGAGAAAGACAAATTGGTAGGAAGGAAGTAGTACTGGAATCATTGATATATCCTCAAAGATATACTGAAAGTTTTCATTGGCTGCTTCTTTCTGACTCCAAGTCTTTATGTAGAATGCATCACATCCCCTTGGGAGGCCCCACCTCTGCCGAAAGGGCTCGCCGCCTCGCAATCATCCTCACGTCAGTCTTGACCTTCGGAGCGGTTTGCATGGTCGTTGCTGGATATGGTGCAAAGCCGCAGAAGCTTGCTGTGCGCAACGTGAAGTTTGCTGCTGCAAGGGCCACGCAGAAGTTGCAGGATGCAGGGAACGGCATGGCTATCCCAGACCCTGACGAGACTGCCAGGAAGGCTAAGGAAGCTATGTCCAAGGCCGGAGATTCAGCAAACAAGGCGTTGAGTGACGTGGAGAACGCTCTCGAGGATGTTCTCCCCGTCGGTGACATCTTCAGTGCTCTCGGGTGGCACTTGGACCTCTGCTTCTACCTTGTCACTATTTACATTGTGTATTACATCTGGAAGTGCAAGGTATGGCACAAGGTCTTGCCACAGTTGATCTACGTTCGAACTGCGGAGGAGGAGCAGGCGGTCAAGGACGCAGAGCATGCCAACGAGAACTGGTCCTCTATCGGTGACTGGAGCGAGGACCCTCACGACTCCACCAAGCCCAACGACCAAGACCTGCTTTGGTTCCGCACAGGCACCAACGAGGAGCGTCTCTTCTACGAGAAGCAGCGTGTTCAGCCAAGTTTCATCGACACCCTCATGTGCGGCTGCGGAGGAAACGTGTACGCAGTGGCCGTGACGAGCAAAAGGATCATCATCCAAAACGACAAGAGATGCTTGTTTGGCTCCACTGTCCTGACCACCAACGAGGAATCCTACCTCCTGAGCACCGTCCACAAGGCCTCCCTGCACACTGACGGCGCCTTGAACCTTGGCATTTGCACTTTGCACTCCTCCGAGATGCTGTCTGGCGGCTTCAACTGGATCTTTCTCGGATTTTTGGTTGACATCGTGCTTGAGTGGAAACCCGCAATCATGAACTTCATCACCGATGATCGCCTCAAGGGCTGGATCAACTTGGTTCCCAACGACATCATCTACATGGTATTGAGTTTCTCGTTGGTTGTTTTCAAGCTCATGCTGATCTGCAGTTTTCGTCCGTTTTGGTCTTGTTCGGAGCCTTCCTCTTCCTTGCCCTCCTCTTCTTCTTGATCTGCCCTCAGAGCACCCTTGAGATCGAGTTCGTTAAGCAAGCTGGAGTCAGCAGCTACACCAAGAAGTTTGACTTCCCTGTGAGCAGATTGCTTCCTCATGCAGCAACTTGTCAATCTGACTCCCTGTAGGTGCGGACTGCTTACAAGATGTACGACGCGATCATGCAAGGAAGGTTTGGCCACTCGAAGTCTGCTTAAGGCGATACAAATGTTCTACTTCATGTGAGAACCACTGGCGATATGAAGACAAACATAAAACCCCCCTGCAGGTTTGCTGAGGAGCCTGTGAGATAACAGGAGCGACTGGGACCGTTTTCATCTCTTTCCTGTTTTATTGCCTTTTGACGTAAAACGGCAAACTTCACCCCCTCCTGTACTTGCTCAGAGTCTCCATGATGGGCTAAAGGAGCCGCATGTCACTTCAATCCTGCACAACTAGAGGACAGACCTGAAAGACGGGAGTCAACGAGCTTGTAAAGTCTTCCACCTCTTCCTCGTTGTATAAGCTGCGCAAGTAGATCAGAATTACAAGCGAGGGTTCACGAGCAGAAACAACCTCTCGATCACTGCTCTAGCATCTTTTGCAATCACCCTGCAGTCCTCGAACGCCTGCACGGCCTCAGCTGGCCACCAAGTCAGAGCGACTTGTCACCTGCCCAATTGTCTCTTCGGTAACTTTGTTGCTTTCATCCTCCACCTGGTCCAGAGCTCGCACCCGTTCCATGTAAAGTTTGATGGCCTGAGGTGTGGATGAGGCAGGAGGAGCAAGCAGGGACAATGCTTGCACCTCCACGAGCTCCTCGGGCTTCACTAGAGCTCCGCTGTCCTTGATCAACTTGCCGTCAACGTAGACGTACTCCTGCTCCTCCTCCGGCTTGGGCTTTAGATTGTGCCTGGAGGATGAGAATCAAGTCAGAAGGAGGGCAGCAACTCGTTGAGTCGCACTCGAGGAGGTTCATGCGGATCCCGGGCTCGTCGATGAGACGCAGAAGCTTGTGGAGGAGACCCAGGGAGGGCTTTGCTCGCTTCTCCAGCTCCTCCTGCACACGAGTGTAGATATGTCCGAGGACCTGGAGATGAGGTCAGGAGGTTGGCAGGGATAGAGACCATCTCGCCTTCACTCGGTTAGTTGTAATTTCGTCTGTCGCCTTCGCCTGCCGTTCGATCAGCACGCGAGCTGCAAGTGGGTAGGAGATGTGAGAGAAACCTGAGCATCGTTGATGTTCATGTCCAGGACGATCAGGAACGCTGGATCAATCTCTCCAGATTTCACGTTCTCGACAATTCTGCGATCAAGGACGTTGATCTCTCCTGAGTTCAACAAGTCGACCAGAAGTTTCTTGCCGTTCTCAAGCCTTGTAGCAACATTTCAGCCCCCGAGGGACGTCGGGTCAGGCTCTCACCTTTCATTCGTCAACTTCTGAATGTCTCCGAGCAAGTTTTGCCACTTGGAGCTGTCGGACTCTTCCTGCAGCCTCCCCGCTAGGAACTGCATCGCCTCCTCGTTCATGAGATGGAATGATCTCCTGACTTCCGCCATCCTCGCCTCGCTGTCCTCCATGTCGCTGATCCGCTTCATCATCTCCTGGGGATCTTCCATCCTCTGCATCTGACTCTCACTTCCAGCAGCAGCCATCTCGTGCCTCACCTCTGCGCTGGCGCTGCTAGCATGCAACATGATCTGTCGTCGCAGCCTCGGCGTCTTCGCCATGTGCGCAACCCGGACAGTGGAGGAGCGGCATTGCACGAGCGGACATACCCTTGTAGAGAGCGACCTCCGTGCCATCAGTGCTTTGCTGCTTGCAAGGATATTCCACGAGAAGCATCCTGAACCTTGGTCAAGGAGTTTCGTGCCCGAAGAACGTGATACCTTGGACGAGCACAAAGGAGCATAGTAGGATGCTCTTGAAAGCTCCCATTCCTTGTAACCTGTATTCTTTCACTACTTCAGTGTACATGGACACAACGGGGTAGCAAGGGCTCAGGTAGCATTATCTCATTTCACTCCTCAGCCTCCCTAACTGCCTCCCCTTAGGCTCTACCTGGCTCCGCCTGTGAGTTCCACCTGCTGCTCACAATCTCTTCTGATATTCTCCCCTCATTCCTGTCTCCTTCTGCCTCTCCTCCCCTCCCCTCCCCTCCCCTCCCCTCTCCTCCCTTCTCCTCCCCTCCCCTCCCCTCTCCTCTCTTCTCCTCTCCTCTCCTCTCCTCTCCTCTCTCTTCATCCCTTCCCTCTTCATCCCCCTTTCCCTGTCAGCATGCATCACGATCGTGTACAACATGTAAAGGAGGTCAGCCAACATTACCACTCCGCCCAGGTGTTCTCAGTAAGCACAAGCAAAGGACAGCGAATGGTACATAGTTCTCTCACTATGCCAGCGTCGGAATGAACCGTAGTAGTAATGATGACTCGGCCCGGTGGAGTCATCGAAACTTTGGCGTCGGAAGAGTCCGCCCGGTCAGAGTCAGCCCGAGTCAGCCGGGGGCAGGGCAGGGCCAGTGACTCAGTACTATGTGTAATCAACTCACGGTACTAGTGTTTTCGTCACTGCGACATCCGCGGCGCCGGGAACTTTCCAAGTTCCAGGCTTTACTCCGAAAGTTAAGTTAAAAATCAGAACTTCGGAACTTAGTAGTGGTCCTGCGCGCGAAGGTGACCCCGTGACCTGGCGGCCAGTTTCAAGTAACTTAGTAAATGACGGCCCCGGGCCCGGCGGGCCGCCGTTCACTGCACGGCGGACTCGAGGGCGGACGTCACTGAGTCACGATCCGAGACTCGGGACGGCCGGCGACCGTTACTTCGCCCGGTAGTTTACTCAAAGTTAAGTTAAAAATCAGTACAAGGACAATGAGAGGAGTCACCAGCTCATGCCTGTACAGGGGTAGTCATTCGGGCGAATGTACATTTTATCTGATTTGACTAAAACTGACTGAAGCAGTGGCTCTATATCGGAGGGCCAGACTGCTTGCTAGTAGGCTTGAAGATCGGAGGAGGCTGAACCGAGTCACTCTGTCACTTCATACAACTGTCCCAACCAAGGCCAAAGATGCAAACAAGTCACTTGCAACTACCAGCTATCTGCTCTGACTGTTTGTCTGAGTTGAAATGCAGCGATTTAGACCAGCGAGTATCAGCTAGCTCCTGTGAAAGTGAACATGTGAACCCTGCAGTGGATGATAACGCGCAAGGAAGTGAAGTCAAAGCTCCTTGCTCCTTGAAATGTGGCAGACGATGGACAGAGCAAGAGCGGATCAGTCACAAAAAGCATTGCAAAGGGAAGATCAGGTTGACTGCTGAGGAAAGAAAAGAGGTCATTCGGTTGAGTCGCACGAATGATCCACTTCTGAGAAAATCGCAAACTGAATTGGCGGCCATGTTTGGCAAGAGCCGAGCAGCGATTTCAAAAATTCTCAAGTCAGAGGGTACCTCAAGGGCTGGAAATCAGTCTCCACGAGCAGAATTTTCTCCTTTGGTGAGAACAAGTTCTGGTACAAGTTCTGGAACAAGTTCCACAAACTCTTGGGAGGAGCGCTTCTATAGCTTTGGCCATAGTGCGTGTGAAGAGAGCTCAATCTCCTCCTCTGGGTCTTATTCCGAACTTCGCTCAATGACGAGAAACTGTACAAAATATTTGCAACTCCTGAAAAATGCTTGTTTGCCACCTATCACAAAGTTCAAGGTCGGGTGTTTTCAAGACTCGGCTCTCACTTGGCGAAAGGTATTTGTTCGAACTGTTTTCAATCACCAGTATGTTCCAGTAGGAAGCTACAGGGACTTGATGAGCATTCTCCTCAAGACGTCCCAGTGGCCAGTCGACAAGTCTCCAGTGCTATCGTACGTCGATGAAGAGGGAGACACGATCGTGGTAACTTCAGATAAAACGAGTTGGGAGTTGCTATCCGGCATTTTCCGATTTGGACAACTGTGCAGCTCCACTTGCGATTTGCCTCGTCTCACGGACCAGGATATCCTCCTTGACATGAGAACATGAGTCTTCCTGCGCCGGAAGTTCACTGCCGCGGCAAACTTCTCGTCACCGTACTACCAACGTTACTTACCGTACCGTAAAATTACTAAGTTAGTAAACTGAGGCCCGGGTACGGTAGCCTGCCATTGGCCAGCCGTCACGCGGCGTGACTAGCCTAGCCTAGTAGGTCGGAGAACTGCAGTGCTGCTCACTGTCAGAAGTACGTCCTGGATCAGGGCCGATGCCCGGCCAGCCTGGCCGCACCCACGGTAGGTGCGGCACCGTGACGGCACCTACCGTAGTACCGTACCGCCGCGAGTCCGAGTCACGAGCCGTGACGGGCGCGGCCCGGCACGGTCCGACCGGGCGGCCCGCCGGGCCGCGGGGCCTGGGGCCCGCCGCGCGGCGTGACTCAGGGGCAGAGTCCGAGGCTGACTGTGAGTCCGTGATCCGGGACCGAACGGAATGTCGGGCCGCTGGGTCCGGGCGCGGCCCGCCGGGCCGGGCGTCTCAAAGTTTCAAGGTCCTGATCAGTGGGGGTGGTCGATGGGACCGGTGGGTATGTTGAGTCTTGCCCTTCAGGATTGTTATGGAAATATGGGTAGGGTATATGCAACACCGGTTCCTTTGACAGGCAAAGAATAGGTCCTTTCTGCTATCTCACCCACCGGTGCACGTGTACCTACCCCATTTAGAATACAAAAGCGCGCCAGATTTGAATTCCGCTGGACCCTACCCACTATTTTGGTATGTGTTGAAATGCCAGAACCCGTGGTCCCGCCAAAACAAGTGGAGAGTACCCCCCCTTTCTCAACGACCGATAGAGATATGATTTGATCAATCCACATGTCTGGATGATCTGTTGAAGGCTACATGTTTTATATATATACAATTAATGAAAATAGCCCATGTAGCGAGCATTGTTACTTCAGCATCAACACCGTCGACGTCATAACCTTCCACCAATAAAAACTAGTACCCACCCTTTCCTCAATAACCCCACCCTCCGAATAAATAAATCTCTCAACCCCACCCCGTCCTCCGTACAGCTGTCCTCTGAAATCGCCGCCCGTCATGGCAGACCACGCAGATACCAGTCTCAATGCAGCGCAGGGGGAGGAGCCTCCTTACAAGAAGAACCTTGAGCGTCTCGCGGCCCTCCAGGAGCGTCTCAGCAAGGTGCAGAAGACTGCCGAATCCCTCCTCGCGACCGTTAGTGGCTCTGGTGGCGAGTACGCCGACAAGCTCATCTACTCTGATTTTAATCGTGTCAAGAGGTTCATTGAGTCCAACCCATCGGTGAGTATCTCATTTGTTATGTGGAATATTTTGATACATCGTCATTTTATGCGTCTACCTCCCTCTCATTGCTTCGATTCTGTCACCAGTTCTTGTCGCTTCAAGTTTTTGTCAGTACATAATTTGCCAGTTTGCACATCATGATGATGAACCCGCTCACTTCCCTCTTGTTTTCAAATGTGCCAGTCAACGCAAAACTGAGAGGATGTTTTCTTTCAGAACATTCAGCCCGGCCTGTCCTTGGATGACGACAACACAGTGGAGATCCGCTTCGTTGTGAAATTTGATGACGCAGACGCAGTCACAAGTTCACTGAACAAGCTTAAGATCTCGACTGAATCATCCTAAGTGGATGAAGAAACACTTACTGACTGGATGGAATGAATGGGCTATGTGTTGTTGCATGGTAATTATTGATCAATGAATACGTCGAATTGGCGGCTCGAATTCTGCGCAGATTCAGATCTTGGTCATACCTGCTGGTGCAAAATGAGCTAAGCCTGATAATGATTCGTAGATATTGTACTGCTCTTGGTAGAATCGCCTCCGCATGATTGAATGCCTTCTGCTTGCGGGAGGTTAGCCTCACTGATTGTTGCCGTTAATGCTACAGTCTGCGATGGTGTCTGCTAGAGTTAAACTCACTAGCTCCGAATTTTCTCCTCACATCAACGTAACATCATCATAGTCTTGCAAGGTTACTTCATGAGTTACTGCTTGTGCGAAAGGATTGTGCAACTACGAATACCCATCATTCCCCTTGTCCGCCATACACTGATGTCAAAAAGATCGGATCGATGTACGCTAGAGCGACTTCCAACGAGCCTGTTGTCGCTCCATCTGTAGTTTTCCTCACTCAACAAATTAACAAAACCTTCCTTCCTCGTATTGCTGCTGACTTCTGCCGTGTTTCAAGGTTTCTTGTTTGAAAGTTTCTCCTTCCGGACAACCTTGTGAAGTAGATTACACATGATCTCTTGGTTGTTATTCGACATAACCGTCCGTAACCGTCGACCCCCCGGAAATAGCGCCATGGCAGCGCTGTTGGACCGTTCAGGAGATGCTGGGCAGGTGAGGAAGAGAATGGCGGAGTAGCGACCAAGGGAGCCTATCATTGCATACTGATGACCAATGTGTTCATGACATGTTGATATGAACTTGAAGGATTCGAAACCATTTCTGTTCGATGTGATGCAAAGCTGCTCCTTTAGTTTTAGGCAGTGTGTGTTGGTAATTGTTTTTCTCTGGTAGCTGTCGGTGTGAGTACACAAATGTTACAGGCTCGAACATGATTGAACCATTTAACATTGCAGGTGACGTATGGTAACTTCCAACATGCCGTGAATGGCCGACAAGAAAGCTCCAAGAGGAGGGTGTACCTGGTCTTCTCGCTAGTTGCCGGCCTCGCGTTGATAGCAGTTGTCCTCTCATCGGCGAGGAATGGCGATAGGCCAGTCCTAGCACATGCCTCCGTCTCCATTTCTGATCAGGTCGATCAAAGGATCAGCCTTGGCAAGCCAAACACTCGAAAGCGATACTTCTCCCTGGCCAGCGACTCCAACGTCCAGGGAGCTGGAGGCTTTCCGTGGGGTTACAGCGGAGACACTGGGCCAGCCAAGTGGGGATCCCTGCATGGAGCATGGCAGTTGTGCGACAAGGGGCCGACGCAGTCGCCCGTCAACATCGTGACGTCAGACATCAAGGCAGACCTCGACCTTCCGGGCCTGACATGGCAGATTCCCAGCAGCAGTGAAGGTTCCGGACGAGCGAGGGTGTTCTACGATGGCCACAGCATCTGCCTGTCACAGCTTCAGGGGGTGCACCTTGACATCGTCGGTTTCTCTCGCTACCTCGACAGTTTGCCGCTGTCTGCTGTCGAGCATCGAAATTTCTCCTTGGTGGAGATGAGAATCCATACTCCCTCTGAGCACACTGTTGACGGCCATAGGTCACCTCTCCCTCCTCTCTGACTGATCCTCCTGATCCTCCTGATCCTCCTGATCCTCCTGACAGATACGACGCTGAGCTGCAGTTCGTGCATGAATGCACTCCGTTGACCGACCCGCCATGCCCGGTCAACAAGAGTCTGGTGAGAAAAGCAGGGAAGCAGGAGGCGCTCGGTCATTCCTGTTGCAGATTGTCTCTGCGCTGATGTCTCTAGCTAGAACGAACCTCGGGGAGGAGAGGTCTTGCTGTTCGCTCTAAGCCGTGCGCGATGCTCATACTTGTGCAGTCCTTCGTTCCTCACGGATATGGTGAATGACTTGAGGCTGATCCAAGGACACTGGAATCAGTAAGAGACGAGGAGGGCGGGGGGCTGGAGGAAATTGACATCTTATCAGGTACATCGCGAGTTTCGGGTTTGACTTCGGGAACGTTGCAAACGCACTGAAGATCTATTCGCACAGTTATTGGTTCTTCAAAGGAAGGTGATTTTCACAAGAGATGATGTCAACACAAAAAGGATGATGGAATGTTATTGGTGGTGGTGGTGGTGGTGGTTGTAATGATAACGACAATGATGATGATGAGGAGGAGGAGGAGTTTGATGTAACTCAATGCTGTCAAAATGGCTTGTTTGCAGTGAGGATGTGAAAAAGGATTGTGAATGTTGTGATATGTCGCCAATGGAGCTGAAAGGTCTCGCTTTACAGTCTAACCATGCCGCCCTGTACTGAGGATGTTAGCTGGATGGTCCTCCAGGTCCCTTCAGCTTGTTGCGCGCGAGTTTGTTGGGCTGATGTTTAGCAGGATCCGATTCCTATCTCCCAGTCCGACTTGTCCTTCTTTCAGTCGGTTCAGGTAACTGCATCTCTCTTGCTGTCAGCCTCTTGTCTTCTCTCCTCTTTATGTCTCGTTCCTCTCCCTCCTCCTACCTCTATTCTCAGCTCTCCTGCCTTTATTCTCAGCTCTCCTGCCTTTATTCTCAGCTCTCCTGTCTGTCTCCTCAGCTTTCCTCGTCTTCTCTCTCATCATCTGGTACAGGGTGATAATACGCGCCCCCTCCAACCTCTCAACGGTCGGCCCATTTTTTCTATCTGAGCCTTGAGAGCGACCTGTACATATAAGCTGCCTGAAGTTTCTCTTTTGCTTTATTGTTTGATACTTCTACCTGGTCGGCATATTGAATGACCATGAAAGAGTTGTTAAAGACGCTCGTCCTCCTGTTTCACTCCTCTCCTCCTCCTCCTCTTCGTGCTCCTCCTCCTCCTCCTGATCTTCAAGATTTTCCCTCCTAGCTTAACTGTGCGGCACTATCACGAATATTTACACGCCATGAGTGAGGCAAAGAAAAACGTCCGACGCTACGAGCGCTGTCACAGGAGCTCCTCCTCCTCGCTCAAAAGACTTTTTCTCACTTGTTGCTCCTCTACTGCTCTCCTGGCAGAATCTCCTCCTCCTCGAACGACTCTTGCGCATATCCCCAGTTCTGCCCGACAGCCGTCAGGTCCCAGCTGCCCCCCACGTCGCTCACTCACCTCGTCGTTGACAAGGATCGGGGTCATCTCCTCCAGCATCCACGTCACGTTGGCGATGAAGGCGCTGATCTCCTTCTCCCCGACCGTCTCAGCCACTCGCTGCGGCATCGTGCCCTGCAAGCCCAGGGCATGAGGAGGACGATAAGGGACGGAGAAAATGTCGGAGAGGAAGGAAAATGAGGACGAGAAAGCGGCGGGCAGAGAGGGGGAGGGAGGGAAGAAGAGGGAAGGAGAAGACACGAAGAGCAGTGGGAAAGGAGAGGGAGGAGGTGAAAGGAAGGAGAGGAAGAGCAAACATCGTCACTGAGAACCTGAGGGTGGTACTGGTGAAAGACGCAGGCTGGTGGCATGAAGATGTTCTGCTTGTATCCTGCGGCGGCGGCAGCTACAGTGAGGAAGGAGTCGACCAGGACCTTGTTGAAGTTGGTCAGCCAGAAAAGGGGAGGGGAGGGAGACTGACAGGAAGGGGAAGCTCAGGGTAGCCCCTCACTCGCATCACTGCATCTTTTGTTGAGAGAAAGAAATCTCCATCGGCATACGTATGCAGGTGCTGCTCGTTCATTTCAGCTAGAAGAGGCGGAGGAAGACAGGAGGAGGAGGATCGCAAGAGGGAGGAGGGAGGGAGGAGGAGGATGAGAAGAGGGAGAAAGAAGTGAGCAGGAGGACGAGAAGAGGGAGGAGGGAGCGAGAAGGAGTTGAATCCTACCGGCATCATGAAGAACTTCCTCTTTCTTCCTCCAGTCTGGTTTGTCCGTATGACCAGATGCTGGTTTGCGTAGCCTTCTTTCTCCTCCTCCTCCTCCATCCCTTCCGGGGGATACCTGACCACTGGTCCGTCTCCCAACAGAGTCACAGCATCCCAATACCTGAATGGTGTGGTCAGTGAGAGGCTGGGACGAGGGCAAACGGGGTGGGAGAAGCATCAAAAGGAGCAGGTGAAGAAGAAAACACGAGGAGGAGAGAGAAGATGAAGGGAGGGTGGGAGGACTTGCAAGAGCAGGAAGCGATTGAAGGCAGCAGAGGTAAAGCATCGGCGGAGGACGAAGAACAAAGAGAGTATAAGGGCAGAGGCAGAGGAAGAAGCACGAGCTGGGGGGGCGGGGCGGGGAGAGACTGGGGGGGGGGAGGGGGACGTACTGTGTTCGAACAAGAAGGTCATCGGGAAAGGTGATTCGAAGATGTCCGTGGGTGGTCCTGTGAAGTTCGCCCAGCGCGTCCCATTCGAGCCCAACGCGCGACAGCAGGTCTCCCACCGCCAGCCGCTGCATCGTCATCACCCGCCTCAGGGCCCCCTGCGCCGCTTCCGTCATGTCGCCCTTCCTCATGGTGGGATGGAATCGCTGCAGGAGATCGTGGCGGTCGATGCGGTAGAAGGCCTCCTCGTCCAGCTGACGGTCAGCAAGGATGCCGACAAGAACCTGCCCCAGCAGGATGTCGCCGTTGGTCACCAGCACGAACTTCCCGCGGGCTCGCCGCATACCGACGTTCTTGGCGTAGAACTGAGGAAACCCGTCCTTGGCCGCCTGCGGGAGAGCAGCGTGGATGCTCGCTGGGACGCGGATGATGCGGACGGGAGGAAGACCTGCCGGCCATGCGAGAGCGCGACGGAGAGGAGGACGGTGATGGCTGGGAGCCCATTCGACGAGGACGAGCTCAGCGCTGAGGGTAGGATGCATCCTTGCTGCTGCCGCCAGCTGGTCGAGCGACGTCTGCAGGCGCGTCATGAAGTTGCCTTCATGCCCGTCATTTCTGGCCGCGAGGATAATGCTCACGTACACCTCCTGCGGGAACTCCCGGCCTGCTCTCGCCCTCCTCCTCTCCCCTGCCATGCCCCCTTCTTGAACTTGCTTCTTTTCTGTAGCCAGCGGCTCTACCGTCATGGGGTAGACTGGCTCATGCTTGTCCCTCGTCCTCCCTCCCTCCTCCCTAGAGATCGTCTTGGGAGTGGAGTAGAGGAGGCCAGTCTGCCCGCGTGAGTGAGCGATGACCTGAGGGCCGTCCACCACCACCTCCTCCTTCCCAGTCACTTTGTCCTTCAGCCGGATGTAGTCCTTGAAGGGGAGGTACGTCAACCCCTTGAACCTCCTTCTGGTGTACAAGATCACTCCTGCATCCCTTGCCGCTGGCTCGCTGGTGTGGAGGGCGGAGAAGAGCGCAGCGTTGAATCTTCTCTCGGGGCGGAACTTGAGGCCAGCAGCATGGAGGAGGAGGCCGAGCGGCGCCATGTCGAAGTTTGAGTTGACGATGGCGACAGCGTCCTTGGGGTAGATGCAGGAGAGGCGCATCGAGCAGCCAACCGCTGGCTCAATCACTTCCCTCATCGCTCGCCGGCCTCCTCGCGTGTCCAGGTTGATCCCCACCAGCCCTCCAGCTATGCAGGAGCGGAAGAGGAGAGGGCACTGCTCATCGGGGATGCCGAACAGCTCATGGATAAGGCCTGGCGGGGTCTTGTCGCCGACCGTACACGCCTCCTGGGGGTCGCACGGGACGTCAGGGGCATCGGCGAGATTGCAACCTTGAGTGGTGAAGAAGTATCCGTCGGAGGCCAGCATCTCCCTCAGCTCTTCGATGGAGCTGCGAAGTTCTATGCTGGAGTCGAGGTACAGGATGTTGGTCAGCTCCTCGGCCGCGTGCTGGATCAGCGGCATCTTCCATGCATAGTTCGCCAACGTCCTGACGTGCTCAGGATGCTTGTCAAAGTTGTACACGCGCAGCTCAACTCCATCCCAGCTGGATAGCTCCTTCCGCTGCTCCTTTGACAAGCCCATGTCAAAGATGACAACCGGCAGGTCAGGCTCGCTAGTGTGGACGCTGCCTATCAAGTTTCTCAGCCTGTCAAAGTAATCCTTGCTGACAGCTGAGACGAGAGTCAAAGGAGCCTCTGAAAGAATGACCTCTTCTTCCCCCTCCCCTGCCAGTCGCTGCTGCTCAATGTCTCCCTCCCCTTCTTCCATCTCTAGAGCCTTCTCTGAGCATACAGTCCAGTCCTCAAGGCCCTGTGAGCCCTTCGAAGACTCAACAGAGAATCTCGGTTTCCTCGACTTCTTCGTGTGTCCTGTCCATGAGATGGAGATCTTGGAGGTTTGCTCACCCAGCTCTTGTGTTTGCGAGGATCTTGGAGAAGCAGATGGAGAGGATGAAGTGGAAGGGATTTGGCTCTTGCATGTCTTGAGCTTCTTCACTGGACGGAAGAACTCTCCTGTGTAAGTCGACCTTGCAACCTTCTGGAAGAGAAACGCCTGTCCCTGTACGCCCCCGGAGTTCATCTGAGCCGAGAAGAAGTTGTAAACCTTGGTGAAAAATCGTGAGAGGAGTTGTCAAGGAGAGCAACTTCATGTCTACCTTCTGCTTGTACCAGTCCAGCATCAGTGGGTGCTCCAGGTCGACCGAGTCGTTCACTGATGTCGAAGTCAGCTCAAAGGTAGCAGGGAGGAGAAAACAACTCCATGCATCCTCCAGCTCGTTTGGAAGGTCCAATGGAGGATCAGCAGCAGCCGAGTATCCCCTCACACGCATCCACTGAACAACTCGACGTAGCTGAGCAGCACATTACTGCTCCCCTCTGCTCCCCTCTCCTCACCCACGCATCCCTCCTCTCCTCTACTCTCCCCTTTCCTCCCTTCTCGTCTCGTGTCCCATTCCCTTCCCCTTCCATCATCTCTGCCTCCACCTGGTAGGGATAGACAACGACGAGAACATATCGCGGAGAGTCTTCGATGCCTCCAGCTAGCAGCGCATGCATTCCCTCCAGCACCTGAGGCTCTCGTGAACAATGAGGTAGAAGAAGAAGCAAGAGGAGGAAGAGCAGAAGGAGCCAAAGAATGCGCTGGAGGAAGCAGGTTTTACAAATTCTTCTGCTCCTTCAGCGCTGATTCTCACGATCGTGGGCTTCTCGATGAGTCCTTCACTGCCTCGAGGTCAACATTTCACTCCACCAGCTTCTCTTCACCGCAAGGCGTTGTCGATGGTATGAGTCGGCAACGTGTAGATAGGACGCAGGTACTCTTCGCTGGTCTGATTCACAGTAGCGATACCGGAGTAAACGCACCCTCTCTCTGGACGATCTCAAGCTCTCAGCGCGTCCTCCTCCCTCTCGCACCCTCACCGGCCTTGCCGAACATGGTCGCATACCCCTCAACAGAGTTCGGAAGCCACGTCAGTAGTAGCACCCTGTCGGCCACTCCGTTCAATCTGATCGACTCGTCCAGGCTCTCTGCCAGCTCTGCGTCATACTCAATGGTCGTTACCCGCGCTCCTCTCCGTGCAGCCTGTAAGAAGAGCATGAGAGACAACGGAGGAGGAGGACGAGCAGGAGAAGCTCTACCGTCAGCGTGAAAACTCCTGTCTCCCCACCAATGTCCAGGACATGATCAGAAGGTTTGAGCTCCGAGAGGAGAAACGTTGCAAGCTGACCCTCTTGCTCTCCATAGAAGAGGCGAGAGTACTGAGCCTGTCATGCCCTCAGCATGCAACATCTCCTTCCTCTTCGCTCGTCACCTCGCTCGATAGTCGCACACTGAGTGGGGCTCCCCTTCGATCCGTAGTGGCGTTGTTGTAGAACCGCGTGTCTTGCGCTATCATGGGGAAGCTGACCTTCTCCTCCTGCTTCTCCTTCTCTCTTCCTCCCTCCCTGCTCTGCTGTCTACCTGCCTGCTCGCCCGCCAAAATTTCATTATGAAGAAGACCACAAGGCATGCTTCATACCTTATCCATCCCTTTGTTCGCCGCCTTCTTCTTCCCTGCTACCACATGGAGGAGGAGGAAGAGGGAGAGCAGCACTAGACAGGCTTTGATCCATATTCCTCCTCTCCTCTCCCTCCTTTACCTCCCTCCCCTCCCCTCTCTCCCTCCCTCCACGCTTCCCTGCATTACGCCATGGATCCCAGACTTCCACCCCCTTTCGCGACCGGAACCACCCCTACCCGCTGAAGCTTCCTGCAGAGACGCAATGGCGATCAGCTAACTAAGTTTTGCTTCCTCGTTCACTGCCTGCTCCGCCAGCCCTCCCCCTCCCCCTCTTCCTCTTCTTCTTCTCATCTCGTGCTTGCTCTTGTCCTCTTCTTCTTCTCATCTCTTGCTTGCTCTTGTCCTCTCCCTCATCGTCTCGTCTCTCGGACCTTCTCTCCCTCGATTGCCTCAAGTGCTTTCCCCCAGTTCTCTCCCCCATCCTCCTCCTCGTCGTCATGCTGCGCGTGTGGGCCTTGCTCGGGTGCCTCCTGGGCTCCTTGGCCTCAAGTCCGGTGGGTTTGCCGAGCCTTCGCCTTGAGAGGTGAGTGAAGCTGAATGCTCCTCCCTCCTCTCATCAACAGCAGGAGGACCATGGAGCTCCGTCCTCACCCCAGACTGCTCTTGTCTACCATCCGAGGAGGCAACTGGTTGCCGCAAGTGTCACTTTCTCATCATGGTGACTGGTGGTCAGGGACGAAGACGATGAGGATGATGATGACGACGACAACGTCGATGGCGTTGGCAAAGATAGATATAGGGACATGCCTCCTCCTGTGTGGAATTCTTATTTTTTATTTCTTGCTGCTTGCTCCTCATCGGCGTCTGCAGGATGAGATAAGATACACGCATGGCATGCGAACAGGGAAATCAGCAAGAGAAGGCGCGATCATTCAAAACATGACGGTATGAGGCTGTGGCGAGGGTGTGATGGTGCTCACGATGTTGATACTGCAGGACAAGTCGTCGGCAGATTCTTCTGACGGTGCATGACAAGTTGTCTGTGTCACGATTGACCTGAGCTATGAAGATGATGAACCTGCATGGGTTGATGGGCAGATCAAACAGGTTCGACGCCAAAACTCTTGCACCATGGATTGATCCCACTCTGCGCAGGGAGGAAAGAAGATCAAATATTACTACGGAAGGACCAACTATTGGAGGTGAGATAGCGAAGAGGATTCACAAAGAGGATTGAGAAAGAGTCCCAACCCCTCACCTCCTGGCTTTCAGGGATGTTCTCAACCAAACAGATCCCTGGGAGCAGTTCGAGCCTGACCTCCATAAGGTGTTCTGGATGAAAGATGACGATGATGTGTATCGGATTGAATTCATTCTCTTTGAACACAGGGTCAAACATACGCAGACTTCATGTTTGCTAAAGAGCGTTTTGACAACGTGGACGTGATGGAGCAACATGGTAGATAGAGGGACATCAATAGATATTCCCGAACTGAGATCGTGTGCAGGGCCACTCAAGGATCGGATGAGAGACTTGATCGCGGTCGCTGCTTTCTTGCATTGATCCACGATTGGGTCACCATCTCAAAACTTCTTTGCAGGAGGGACGTACAACCCCAGCTGGATATGGCCTCGTGAGTTTGAATTGTGATGTTCCGATTCCTGATCTGCGCTTGAGGTCAGGGGGGGGTTGTGAGCGCGAATTTCAGCTTTAGTTATCCTGAAAATCGATTCGCGACGATATGTGAGAGGGAATTTGAGTCCTGTCGATTGCTAATGTTGTCGCAGATCCAAATTTGACTGGCAACTTGAGCGAGATTCCGATTTATGAGTACATCTGTCTTGGACATTGAGATTGAATTTCACTGACGAGCGCCGGTGCTAGTTATGACTCGGAAAAAGACGAATATTTCTTGGGCACGGTCAAAGTTTGTGCCAAAAATCTTCTTGTCTGAACAACTCTTTCGAATCCAGACGATTGTTCACAACGATGATTTGTCTGTTTCGCTGTCAAACAAATCAAGGTGATGGAACAAGATTGGATCTTTTCTTTTATCGATTGTACAGATTGCTGGAGCCCGACGAAGTGTTCGCTCGCTTCGTTCCTTACCAGAATGCTGTGTGTCTCGAATCGGAGCGTGTTTTGAGAGTATGATGGTGTTGTTGCAGTCATACCCAGAACCAACGAAGAGCAGAGACAGGTACATCAAAGGTGAGAACTCAACGATGTTCGACTCTTTATCATGTTTGATGGGGCTATAGCTTTCGAAGATCAGCTAAGGTGAAGCCTTCCTGCCTGAATGGCGGTCATCATTTCCTTGACAACCTAAAAGATGGGAGAACGGAGAACTTCCTATGCCTCTCAATGAAGAAGGAAAGTGTTTCTTCCTTCCTGATATTTGAGATTTGTTTGATTTCCTCTTGTTTCATCCACTCCAGACTTGGAAGAGATTGAAGAAGATAAGAGAAGACAGGTTGGAAAGTGATGAGGAAAATTCGCTGAGCGGGTTGACGTTTCCAATGAATCAGATAAATGAACAACTATGCGAAGCGGCAGAGCAAGGATCAGTCGGGTTGTTCAAGTGCTGAGATTTGCGATCCCTCGATGTCAAGAGTCATTGAAACAATTTTCCTCAGATCTCTGATGCAATGTGGTGGAAATGTTTCCTGGCACATGTAAGTTTGTGGCTCCTTCCTCCTCCTCCCCTTGCACTCTTTCTCTCTCCTTCCGTGGCGTTGCCCTCCTCCTCTCCCCTTCTTCGTTCTCCTCCACTTCTTGAATCTTTGAGTTTCCTGTCAGGCCTCCCGACATGTTGGCGCCGTTGCACTACGCTGCGCTGAATGTGAGGAAGAGGGGAGAGGACGAGAACACAGCAAAGAAGGAGAAAAGAGACAGATAGAGAAAACCAAGGGAAGGGCAAAGGACAGGGAAGAGAAGGAACAGGGACAGGGAAAGGAAAGGAAAGCGAAAGGGAAAGGACATGGAAGGAGACAGGGAGTTGAGGTGCCTTGAAAGCTCCTGAAAGACTGTCAGGGCCATTTGGAGATCGTCAAGATTCTCATCGAGAAAGGGTGAGGCAGACCTGTTGTCTTCTTCTTGTCAATTCTCGCAGCGTCAACGTGAGCGCTCGGGATGACTGGGACCGCACGCCGCTGCACTGGGCTGGTGAGGACAGAGGTGAGGTTGTCAAGCGCGAGTGACGAGGGTCGAGCAGCATACAACGGTCACGTGGAAGTTGCGAAGGAGCTGATAGCCAACGGGGCGAACGTGATGGCCAAGGTGGGGAGGAGACGCTGGGAGGAAGAGGCGTTTGACGCAGTGGCGCAGACCAAGGGAGACTGTACCCCCTACGTGAGACTTTGCGGCTTCTTGTGGGGATGAGGTGAAACCTTGGCAGTCGTTCGCGTCGATGTTCATGCACACGCACAACGACGTCATCCGCTACTTCCGCGACCAGGTCAGCTGCGGCCCTGCCTGCTTGCCTGTGATGCTCGGGCAGGAGAGCAAGTTGAACCCCTCCATCCTCAACAAAGACACCTCCACGACAAACTTCTTGGATGATGAGGTAAGCGAGCAGAAAAAGGAGGAAGAGCAGGAGGAAGAGGCTCCGATGATTTTGTTCGCAGATGTTCAAGCAGCGCAACGCGAAGTTTAGTTCCCACCCGTTGCGAGCTAATCTTGGATAAAGAGCGTTGCGATGATACAATATACTTCAAATTGAGTACATGCACTCGTATGCTTGTTCCCCTACATGACTCACTCACTTGTCTTGTTCCCCTACATGACTTACTCGCTTGTCTTGTTCCCCTACATGACTTACTCGCTTGTCTTGTTCGACTTGTCTTGTACATACTCTGCATTCCTCACTCCCACAAAGCCACCACTACCACCCCTCATTTCACCTTCATATGAATGGCAGAGGAAGGGTGGGTGGGAATTCGAAATGGAGTGATGCAAGGGAATGACAATGGAAGGGGATGAAGATGGTGGAACAGAACAGAGCAGAGCAGAACAGAACAGAACAGAAGATCAGGAACTCTGATCTCACACGAGGATATCTCATCTCGCAGTTGCTGTTGTTTGATTGAATACGAGTGAGATGCCCTTGTCTGATGGTTCAGACTTCTCCGACATCGACGATATTTTGGAAGGTAATGTCCTCCTCGATGAAAAATGAGAATGATGATGATAATTATAATAATGATGAGGGCGGGTTGGGAAGAAAGCTGATGATGAAAACCTTGCCATAATGATGATCACGATTATGATGATCACGATGATTATATCATTATTATCTTAGCTGTAGACGTGTCGACCTATGCAAATGGATATGAGAGTGTGCGTTGAACGATCTCTGCAGATCTCTCTCGCAGAGCAAGTCAGGAGCAGGAAGATGTCAAGAAGAAGTCGAGCTCGGATACAAGCAGGTCCAACAGCAGCTCGAGCAAGACCAAGAAGTCAAAGAGCAGCAAGGACAAGTCCAAGAGCTCCAGAGACAAACCTTCCAGGAAGACCCCAGCTGAGGTGAAGACTCGGCGTCTGCTCATCCCAGCCGTGACTCTCATGCAGACACGTAAGGACGAGGATGCGGATGAGCTTCTGCGAGGCATGGGGGCTGCTCTGTCCCAGGCTGTTCCCAAGCCCAAGCTCTTCGACCCTCTTGCCGGCCTCAGCTTCGGCCTGCCATCTAGCGGCGCAGACAGAGGAGAGAGCAAGAGGAAGGAGGAGGCCAGCCGAACTCCTGCAGCCGATGCGCGCGACTTCGGCATGGAAGATGCTGCCAACTTGATCAAGTCGTCCGGCGTGCGCACTTTTGCTGAGCACCATGCTCCTTCTCACCCCTCCCGGTCTACCTTCGCCTCCTCCAACCTCTCCATCCTTTCTGAGGAAAGCCTTGGCGATAGCCAGACGAAAGTTTACGCTCTGCCGAGCAGAGAGGAGGAAGAGGAGGAGGAGGAGGAGGAGACAGAAGAACAAAGATTCTCAAAGTTTGGAAACATTCGCATGGCAGGGGATCTCCTCCCCGATGAGCAAGCCCCTAGTGTGCAGAGGGAAAAGACCAAGAAGTAAGTGAAGAATCCTCCCCACATCCTCTTCTCCTCCTCCCCCTCCCCTCCCCTTCTCTCCTTCCTCGTTCAGTTCTCTCCTCTCCCTCTTCGCTATCCCTTCTCACTGTCCTCCTTTCAGGACGGTGGGTGCCGAGACTTCGGACTCCTCTTTTGACCTCTCCGACTTGTCGATCTCCGACTCTGAGCTGATGGTGGACACGACTCGTTCGGCAGGAAGGAAGGGGATCCTCAAGAAGAAATCCTCCTCCTCCTCCCCCTCCTCTCGCCCTTCCCGTCCCAAGAAGATTCGCTTTGGTCAAGTTTCCTACCGTGACGACGATCCTTTTTCCCGCTCTCTCTCCTCCAAACCACAAACCTTCCAGACCGTCAACAATCTCGACGGGAAAGAGAAGGATGAGAAGGAGAAAGGGGGCTTGTTTGCATCGAAGTTCGGGAATATTCAGTTCGCGGACGACCTGGGAGGGAAGCAGGAGGAGCAGGAGGAGCAGGAGGAGGAGGAGGAGGAGGAGAAAGGGGGCTTATTTGCATCGAAGTTCGGGAATATTCAGTTCGCGGACGACCTGGGAGGGAAGCAGGAGGAGGATGGATGGATGGAGGAGGAGGAGGAGGAGGAGGAGAAAGGGGGCTTATTTGCATCGAAGTTCGGGAATATTCAGTTCGCGGACGACCTGGGAGGGAAGCAGGACGGGGAGGAAATTCCAGCAGAGGTCGAGCTCGATGAAGAGGTTGTTGATGATTTTGACTCTCACGGGTATGATGAAGACTTCCATGAGGACGTCTCGGCTTGCGAGGAGGAGAGCAGACCCTCCAGCCAAGGCCCAGCTGCGTCAAGGGAGGCTGCTAGCAGGGAGCAAGAAAGATCAGCGCAGATTCAGAGGATGGAGGAGGAGCTGAGCTTCTGGAAGGTGGAGGCGATGCGCCTGGCAGCTGAGAAGGATGAGACGCATCGCACGCTCAAGGGGCTGATGAAGCTGAGAACGACGGAACAGGCGGGGGAGAGAAGAGTTGACACGGATCGAGTGAGGAGTCAGGCGACAGGGAGTGACAGCGGCACGAGCAGGTGGCAACAGTCAACATCTTGCGATGCTGACGGCAACCGCAGGCCTCAGGTCTTCCCGATCGCAAGCAGCTTGATGGATGAGTCTCAGCGGTATTTCTTCTCCCTTGTATCCTCCTCCTCCTTCTCATTCCCGCCATGTTCTTCTCCATTGTCCTCAATCACAGACAGGATCTCCATGTCCTTGCGCAAGCCTCTCTTGGATGCCTCCGAGCAGCTCCTTGCTGCCAACTTGCATCTCATCCGAGCTGCGGTGACACACCAGAGGTCGCTTGCTCCTGTGACCCTCCCTCTCAGATGAATCGCTCTCAAGCCCGAGCTGCGTTCCAGCAGAGGAGAAATGACTTCAGTTACACGACCCTCGAAGACACTCTAGCCTACATGCGCAGCTGCCCACTCCGACCTCAGGTCTGCTTGTCTTGCTCGCCCTGACCTCACCCATTCCTCAGGTTCGAACGTTCCGAGAGGCGCTGGAGGACATCAGGACCAAGGTTTGAAAATCAACACTTTGTTACTATTAAAGATTAAATGTCTGTCTACTTCTTGCTACTGGTCATTTCTTTCACTTTCCGTTTGCGTTCTTGCAGCTCAGACCACATCATGTAATTGTTAAAATGTGAGGAGTCGCCGCAACCGTAATCGTCATCCGACATGAGCCAGTCCTGGATCTTCTTCCACTCCTTCTCCTGCTCTTTTGCCAGATGTTTCACATAATCCCATTCGTCCTCTGCTTGTGCTCCAAACTCGAGCTTGTTGGAGTTTCGGTCCGAGACGGCTTGCATGGCGTCATGGGTCACAGCAGGCAGCATCGACTCGTTGGGGTCGTAGGCAGTGACGAGGAGGAAGTGCGGTCTCCGACCTCCACACGTCTCCTCCGAGTAATCCTCATCGGTCAACGGCTTCCAGATCTCTTGCTTGTCTCGCGATTTCGACGAATGCACCAGCGGGATTCGAGAGATCTCCTGGAATTCCGAGTTGTGATACTGGTTGAGCATGACGTTACTTGTGTAGTCGCCGGTCGGGCGGTGGAGGGGGAGCAGCATCAGTTTGTTCTCCTTCAGCAGCTCCAGGTTGTTGAGCACGTTGTCGCTGCCATACACATCGATGACATCATCAACCTCCTCCTTGGACCTGAACACAATGGTGGCCCACCGGCTGCTGATCTTCGACCCGAGGTCCGCCGAGGGAAACATCCGCCCCTCATGCGCAGCTCCGGTGTCGAAAACCTCCACAGCAACGATCTCGCGGTTGGGGAGAGCAGATTGAGCGTGCGTCTTCTTCCATGCCTCCCTGTGCAAATTAGCAATATGCAAAATCCTCCTTCTCTGTCTCTCTGTCAGATGATTCGGAAGAATGCTCTGAACTTCTTCTCGAAAAGCTCGAAATTCCTCGTCTTTTTCACGTTCAGCAGCTGTGATGTCACGATCAACCTTGAGAAATGCAGTGAAGAAAGCTGTGAGGATTTCTTTCAGCTCCCAGTTCGACAGCACATATTCTCCTCCTACTTTCTTGTCTGGCAAGTTTTGAACATAGACTTTGTTTGGAATGACATGCCTCCATTGAAAGATGGACATGTCTGTGCCTCCGGCAGATATCAAGTAGTCATCGTCGTATGAAAATCGTACTTGAGAAACAAAGCTGCCATGACCGTAATATGACCTGAAGGCTTGCTTGAACCCGAAGGCAGGCCAGCGGAAAAGCTTCACTTTCCCGTCATCATCGCCAGTGGCGCACACGTTATGTCCCCAGGACGAGCTCTGACCCTCGCCAGGAAAGTTATGAGTCTTGAAGACGTCTTCGGGTTCGGCGCTGTCATTCGGAATCTCTCCACTGACGTAGGGGTAAGGAGAAGGATCATTCCCTCCGTGACATGGAGCCCAGGGGGGCACCTTACTGTGAGATCGATCGATGGAGTTGATGTCCGAACCAGTAGACCCACGTCGCCATATGCTCTTTACGGTCCATCCCAGCACACAATTGTGTGTAGCCCACTTTTTCTTGCTCAATTCTTCGGTTTTCACGCTTTGCTTTCCGCTCGGAATCACGCAGTAAAGCAATTCATTGGACATGCTGGTCGAACGCAGATATCCGCTCTCTGCATCAAAGTCGACATGAGTGACGGCACCTGAGTGATCGTTACAACACCCTACTCGTTTGTATGGCATGGTTGACTGAAGTAAGATTTCTTCCTCTGACATTCCCAGAGACTTCTGCTTCGCATACTCCCTCTCTCGATCACGAGAGGACGTTTCTTCTAGTCTTTCAATTCTGTGACGATAAATGTCGATACAGTTATCTCCCAGGGCAACTGCAAGGTACTTCCCATCTGGACTGTACTTGAGAGACATAACTTGAGAAGAAGAAAGGGAGCTGTCCATGCTGTAAGCTTGTCTCGGCAAGGGATTGAAGCAGCATAAGTTAATATTTCCAAATGCTTCCTCCGGATCAAAGAAAGGATCTGAAAACGTATCGCCCGCGACGTTTTCATCATCTTGATTCGCAGCATCAAAGGATGACTTCTCAGTGTTCCAGACTGAGAACGATCCATCTTCATGACCGATTGCAAATAGCGAACACGGCTTATTGTTGATCATGGCTGCACCATGAACACCTTCCCCACTTTCCTCGTACCAGAAGGTGGCTGATCGATTTTGCTTGTAGGTATAGACACTACTGATCATGATCTGGTCATTGATATCGAAGAAACGAGCTGAACAGTCCTTGCTCACAGACATGAAGATCCTTTCGTCTGGGATTGGTGCTATCCCATAGACAGGCTGCATATGACCTCTCATTACGACCCGCTTTCCACAGACTGCCCATTCCCAAGGACAACCCTGCGAGTCATTTGGCATATACCCAGGCTTACTCTCATCAAATCTTTGATACCAGAAGGTGCAAACTGGAATCCTGTTGGCAACAGCTCCATTGCTTCCCTTCCATTCTCGGACTTTGTCATGTCCCCACCATTCTTGGTCCCCAAGTCTCCCTTCAATCGAATTAGCGCTATCACCACGAATTCGGTGGTTTTCGGATAGCCCGAAGATCCATGAATCTCTATCCTTTTGACCACACCTTCGGAGTCCAAGCATGAGAATTGTGTTGTCTGTCATTCCCACCAGCAGGCAGCCTTCTACTCCAAGGTCGGCGAAGGATAAGTGCGTGGCTGGAGCCCCTCGAATTCCCTTTGCAGGCTCCTCTCTCACATACGATTCGTCGGTCATGTAGCTGAATAATGTTTTTGACGAGGACCAGTCCATCGATCGGACTGAAATCTTTGCGATAAGACTTGGATCGCACTTCCTCGTGAAAGAACGCAGATCAATCACACACTTTGGCTTCTTGAGATCACGTAGTTCCGGATCCCACATCTATAAGTATTTGTCAGTCCAGCTTAGTTACATAGAATCGTCCAATGTACCTTCAAGTATCCTCCTTTGCCAGCTGTAAATAAACCCACTTTATCAACGTATAAGATCCCTAGAACTTGTTCTTTGTGTGCGCGTTCAATCTTTGCCTGCACTTTGCCTACACTCCATATGTAAACATCTCCATTTTCAACACCTGTAACAACATTTCCTTTCGGTGTAAAACATATGCATCTTTGATTGAGAGGGTCTGCGATGTCACCGAACAATCCAGTAGCCATTTCAAGTTCGACATCGCCTAATTCCCACATTTTCATGTGTTTCTCTCCACAAGAGGCGAATGCAGCCATGCTGTACTCATTGAACTTGCAAATGTCAACTTTCCCGCCATGAGCCTGTCCTTCACGGATCTTCATGGGGCCATTCTTATTTTTCCAATCAAAGACAGTGATATGATGCTCAAAATCGTTTGCCATTGCAACAAGGTAATTGCCTTTGCTGTTAAAACTCAAAGACACTACTTCAATTCGCTTTGGGCCCAACGACATAGTAGCCAAGATCTGATCTTTGAATTCATGTCGTCCATCATATGGAGTTACCCTCCATACAATTATCCTTGGATTTCTCCCTTTCTGACCGCTGGCAACGATGCATCGATTAGGCAGGTCCCAATCCCTCCAATCGATGACACCTCCTGAATCAAATGCAAGTCATACCTCCTATAGATAGAGTAGGTCACATTTCAATGATACCTTCAAACATTTGAGGGAATTCTTCAGTTGAAACTGAACAGTTGAAAATAAGTGCAAGTTTTTAGATCAATCGCCTCGTTTACCTGGCAAGGTACGGTCCGTAGGCTTCCATTTCTTGGGTCCTGGGGTATAAACTCCCTTGGTATAAGCGAAAAACATTTCCCATTGCTCAGCTGTGAGGGGGTTTGTAGGCTTTTCCATCTGTTGAAGCATGTCAATCAGGATTTGTGGAGGCAAAAATAGACCTCTGCCCAACTTGCGTCTGGCTTTTGATATACTCGTTTGAGAACTGCAATCGAAGAAACGCTGTTGGTGTGATGCAAAAATCGTTGAACATTGTTTTTGACATCGAAGACTATCACTGTAGCAGCAGCGAAATAGACGATTTCTCCTGTATGGACCATGCAACCACGATCTGAGCATGGAAAGACAATACAATCAGTTCAATAAAACTTCGAAGCAAACTGATTGTGAGCAACCTGAATCATATGCCTGTAAAAAATGCAGGTTCTCCAAACCAGGGCCCTCTCCAAACAACTCCTGATCCCAACAGCTTGCACCTGTCAAAAGCCCGTTCAAAAAAGTCAGACAAAGCAATCATGAAATCACCTTGGTATCCATAAACAAAATCAAGAGAAAGATGGCTAGAAGGCTCCCTTTGCCACTGTTTATGGGTGTCATCCAACCCTGTGGAGAGGATCAGTCAGTTTGCATCAACATGATTGGTACAATAGAATTACCCTGAAATTGCACAGGTGCCATCACGGATGTGACACAAGGATTGTACTTCTCAAGTCCTCCTTGAGAAGCATTTTCCCATGGGTCTATCTGGTCTATCCTACTGTATCCTATGGATCCCTTGAATGCCATCAATACAAATGACTGAAGAGGAGGTAGTGAACCTGGACTGGAAACGGTTCGTTTGCAGAGTCTTGATCGCCTAGTCCGAGCATTGTTTTCGTAAGACCGGTTTCAGTATGCTCCACAGGTCTGAAGCGAGGGACAATGGTCCTCTCATACTGATCTCTGATAGCATCTTGCTTCTTCTTTTCTTGTACCTTCGTAGGAAGAAAGCGAGTAAGTCTATGTGAATCTTAGGCACGTATGTTACTTGCTGTTGGAGAGCAGCTTTGAAGGCTGAAACATATCTGGACTGTTTAACGTTTCCTTCAACCTGGATTATGTAAATCAGTAATGACTTGAATCATAGTCTCCAAGTGAATTGACCTTCTTCCGGAAGTCGTTCAACATGAAAACTGGCTTTCCGTTGACCTTGACAGCGAACGTCGACCCAGTGACATAATCGTAATTGATTGGTCGATGCTTTGCAGAGGCTGCTGGAGCTCTACTGGCTGCAGTCACAAGTTACTTGTGAGGATATGCTTTCGTTGCGACTTTGCGAAACCGACCTGGCGCAGAAAATGGTCGAGAAGACATAGGTTTTGAAAGCGGTCTTTGGAAAGTTGGGGTTTGTCTTCGAGTAGAGTCTGCCCTCGTCATTGTAGGTGGCCGCTCCATCGTTGAGCACAATCGTTTCCCTAGCACAAAATGTCACAACTGGGACCCTCAATCTCTTATGCGTTGTCCTTGTTTCCAGGCTAGATTCATAATCAACTTCCCAGTAGCCTATCAGCATGACATTCTTCTCCTTCCCTTCTCGGCCGTAAGCGTTTCATCTCATGTTCCCTCCCCTCCCGTCAAGGTCGTACGCTGCTTCACTGCTCTCCAGCGGCTCATAACTGGGAGCATGGTGCACAGCGGACCGAGCACCCCGGCTATGAATTCACCCACTAGTATGGACCCCCTACCACCTACCCAGGCATTGCTCTTCGAAAGGGTTGGTCCCAATACTTCAACTACCCCACCTCCTGGTCGTATCAAAAGCAAATCTTTCCAAAGGGAGTCCCAATTTGAAGCTTTTTCAGAGTGGCTTTGAATATGTGTGTCTTAGTTTTGAAAGTTGCATTAAGCGGTGTAATATCAGGATTCTGTACCCAAACATTTGATTTGGGTAGGTCCAATGCATTAGTAACGCAAATGTAACCGTCCAAATTTCAGTTTCGGTTGCTCAGGAGGTTTTTGTCACGGTTGTTAACTTTGAGTAAAGGTTACTACTACTCCCGCCCCCGGGCCAGGCCGCCGCCCACAGTGCCAGACGGTGGTGGACTCGGACTGCGGGCCCGGGACTCGGACTCGGCCGTCGGACCGCAGTGCGGCGGCACTGGGCCGCGCCGGTACCGTGCCACGACGGTGCGGCCCCAGGCCGCCTGGCACAGTGTCACGGCTAAGTCACAGCCTGTGCCGCGGCACGCGTTACTGCGGCCCCGGCCCCCGGCACTCCGAGCCGCCGTGCCCGCCGCGCCGTGGGCTTCTGGCGACCGTGCGGCCACGGTGACCCGTAGCCCTCCCGGCCGGGCGGGCCGCCGCGGGCTATCATCATCATGGCATAGTAGGCCGCCGCGATCGCGGCCCGGCGGCCCCCGGCCGGGCCACCGCACTATTGCATGACGGTTATTCAACAGTTATTGTAAGGCTTGCGACCTGACGCTGCATGACGGTTTATGCTACAGTCAAGAGCAGGTGTGTTGTGACCTGTCCCTGGTCTCAGCCACGTTGAAGCCCTGGTGCTCTCTTCTATCGTGATCTGATAGATCTAGTACCTTGCTATTGCCTTCTCTTCTTTATACAACAAAGTAGACATGTCCTTCTATGCCAAGATGAACAGCTTTCTTCGCAGATTCCCCAGGCCTCCCTTCGCTGAGCAGAGGTTTTGGGACAAAACTTATGATAAAGCACCAGGAGGTATTGAATGGGGAATTGAACCAGGGGAAATGCTGAAATATTCCTGGACACTGTGCCAAAAAACAAAACGAAACTGATGACTGGAACCCTCACGGAAATTTGTCCCAAGACAAGTAAAGTGCTGGATCTGGGTTGTGGTAGCTCCATGCTGTCGTTCTTTCTAGCACATGAAGGTTGGAGGTGAGATTTGCCTTATGAATCCGACTCTACGGTCTAACAATCGAGAAAAACAGTGACATTACCGCGGTGGATTTATCGCCAATTGCCATTAGTCAATGCAAACAGAGGGCAGGCCTCATGGGGATTGAGAACATTGACTTCGTTGTCGCAGACTGTCGCAGGTTTTGAACTAGTCTTCTAGTCCTACGTTAATGATTGACGGCTTACTAGGCTTCACCAAAATTTTCCACCACATTCGTTTGATCGAATATTGGACAAGGGTTTGATCGATGCTTTGTATTGCAGCGGCGATCCAGACCATTCCATGCAACAAGTTTTCAGGGAGACGCATAGGGCTTTGAAACCAGGGGGAAAGATGTTGAGTGTTCAGGTTGAGCCACTCTTTGGAATCCTCCATGGTCTGAGGTATACATACATCACCGAAGTCTCTTTCAAAGAAAGGTGGGATGTTGAATGCAGGAGGGTAATGCCCATGAGTTCAGGCGCGTATTTCTATATTTTTACAAAGCAGACTGACAGGAAATGTATGAAATAAATGAAGCAGAGCCAATCGAGAGGAGTCAGCCATTTTTTTCACACAGTATTACCAGAACGATACGATAAAACCATCTAAAGCAAACCTGTTCGCCTACAGCGTTTTGATAGATAGATTTGCAAAACATTCTTGCACTATCCCTGTTTCTCAACTTGTACAGAAGGTGAGGGTTGAGAGAAAATGGTGGGCGTGGGAGTGTGAGGATCAAAGCCGATCATATTTGCGGGGGCTAGGGATATTTTAGGATGAAATCAACAGAGCATTAAGTATAATTTGATTGAGTTTCAGTGGTGTGTTGCAAAAAAAGGAATGCAAAGAATATCAGGAGATTCGGTAGAACACTTAAGGGTTGTGAAGATCAGATCGCATTCGTGAAAGGGAAGAAATGGATGGAGAACAAGCAAAGTTTGAGTCGACGGCCACAATAACATTGGGGATCATGATAAATGTAACGATATTGTTAAAATCGACAGTTTGCTTCGATAACATCGTTTTGCTGCATGTACAGAAATGACAACAGAAGACGAAAATATGTTGAAGACAACAGGAAAGGGACAGTCGAACGCAATTGAAACAAACAGCGCAATGAAAGAGCATGCGAGATCATAAGCTTGTCAGGGACGAGGATGAGGATTGTGGAGAATGGACCAATGGGGAAATAGAGGTCCTGATGGATGGATGGATGGATGGATGGATGGATGGAGGGAGGGAGGGAGGGAGGGAGGGAGGGAGGGAGGGAGGGATGAAGGTGAAGGAAGGGCACCATACCATGCAAGCCTTGGAGGTTTTGGCACAAGAGGGGGGTCATAGCGCCATAGGAACGATGTGCTAAATAAGCAGAGGTGGCCGAGTTGGTCTAAGGCGTCGGTTTAAGGCACCGATCTCTTCGGAGGCGCGGGTTCGAATCCCGTCCTCTGCATTTTGCTCTCTGGAGGCTTTTTTTTTTTCACCTACCCCCAGCCCCACCCCCACCTTCACCGCTTCCGATTTTTTAAATTTAGTATGGCGGCAGATTTTTTTACCAAAAATTCCCCTGTAAATTTCAAAATTAAAAGAAACAAAAAGTAATTTCTCCAAAATTTCCTGATAAAACCAGTACTCACCTTGCACGAGCAATAAGCAGAGGTGGCCGAGTTGGTCTAAGGCGTCGGTTTAAGGCACCGATCTCTTCGGAGGCGCGGGTTCGAATCCCGTCCTCTGCAATCCTTTTATATGTTGAGCAGTCACACAAGGTTTTCAAAATCATGGCTTTTTACCTCCTCTGGTCATGACGATCAAGATCGTGCAAGTGGATTCTGCGTGCAGCGCGAAGAACACGATGCTTGACATCTTGAGGATGAAAAGGGTTTTTACATACGAAGAACGAAGCGAGGAAAGCAGGAACGCTGAGATGGAATCGGAGAACGATTAGCCAAGACCGGTCAAGCAGAAGAAGGAATAATATTATAATGTAAGGACGAGGGTTGGTCAAAATTCTTCAAGTCATTGCAGTACAAGGAAGATCAGGTCGATAAACATTCGAATGACGATGAGAAGTGCATGATAGATGTTTCAAAGGAATTCCCTACTGGACCTCTTATTATTGAATCTTTTGATTTAGCTGTTGCAATCATCGTTGGATAAGGAGAGGATGAAGCTGAAGCGGAGACTGGAGAAACCAGTGGTGAAAAAGGCTCGGCATCAACCCCTGTCAAGGATGATGACAATGTAAAGCTAAAGTCTGTACCCAAGTGCCATAAGATCGATGCTTTTTAAAGAATCTTTGCAATCCATTTGGAATGTTTCATGATTAACACCGCCATGGATAGGCATGAGCATATCAATACAATGCCCCTATGATACCCTGCAATACCTCGTGGTGTGGCTTGTTTAGGTGTAATTCCTTGCAATAAAGAATGAATGATAGGATTGTTGCAACCTCAATCTTCTTCTTATGCATGCACGAACTTATGATGCTTATGACCGCAAGACCCTTTGTCAATGGAAAGAAGATGAAGAAGAATAGGTCATCCGGTGCGTTATTGACGATGTTGAATACGTTCTCCTTGGATGTCAATGTGACGACAAACAGTGCAATGCTGATTGCAAAGGGCGATCCCTTGTAGAGTGTGATTCTATTCCTATTCACCTCAGTCCTTGGTTGCTGGATCAGGAGCACAAAAAACGGGCCAAGTATAATGTCAACCCTTGGAGTGGATGTCTTTTTACAGAATACCACTGAGTCTAGTAGTGAGTCGTCAACGATTTATCCGATTTGGTAGACCTGTTCTCTATGTTATCTTCCAGATCCCCAAGGTCAATCTGATTGTCGTAACTCTTTGAATGATGGACAGTGCTTGGGATGTCATAGTTTGGATCTATGTCCTTGCCGGTCATCTTCATCATTTCATATCTCATGGTGGCAAAGAAGATAAAATAGGCATGGAACATGAGCAGGTTGATGGATGATGTTGTGACGTGCTGTGATACCGTGGTGTGTGGTGATTCATGGCTCTCCACAGACATGAGCAACGATATGGTGAGTATGAACGACCTGGTCAAGAAATCCAGCATCATCTTTCTTTCAATGGGTTTTCTCGTGTATTGTTGCTCTGACGTGCTGATATGGGTATGAAGAGTAAATCACATAGCCGTTCACTACAACAAATAGAAATGCAACGCCCCAAAAATACAAATGGGGTATTGTTTTATAATCCTGACATGACAGAAGATCTAGAATCAATTTCTACACTGAGGAGGATCAATCGGAGCTTCGAGCTCTACCCGCTCAGTGAGGATGAGGAAGAGACATGTATCATGATGTGGCGGCAGAGCCAGCCTTCCAGCCTCTGATCATGCCAACACACAGGATCGATGAGCATGGCGAGCTCCAGGGGTTTCGCTTCATCACGAATGCTGCAGACAGTGGAGCCGTTCTCCCCATGCACAGGAACATGTTCTTTGGCGTTACAATGACTGAATGCATGACGAATGACATCCTTCCACCCGATATCGATTATGACAATGATGAATCACATGACTTCGACTCCAAGACACACGATATCGATACCTCTGAATGCTCGGAATATCACGTAGATATGCCCATGACTGATGTTGTCATTGATGAGATGGGTCGTGACATCAATTGGGATGACAACCATCGTTACATTGATAGCATTCATTGGAATCCAGAGCCTCCAACCAGCATTGGGATTTACCACGAATTTAATCGAAACTTCGTCAACGATGTCTTGGAGCACAAGCTTGTTGATGGCGGTCTTCGCAATGCGGTGGATGAGTTCTATAACTTTATGTTGGATGCTGCCAAGAAGGCCACTGCAAAGGACATCTGTGAGTCGGAAGAGGTCAATTGGCTTAGGAAAGCTTCACAGAGAGCAAAGTTGAAGAATATCAACATGGTTGCCGATGAGTTTGAGCTTGATATACCTACGGAGATCGATATCTATGAACACTCACTCAAACCCGTAGAGATTGCACAGGCCGCTACAGAGACGATACACTGTGACATCATGAGATTGGATGAACACAATGTTGCGGTCTATAATTATTTATGCAACACCTCTATTCAAGAGAATGGGATACTATGCCCCATGCATCCCTGTGAGGGCATGTGGCTCTTCAAAGGGCCAAAGCTGAATCATATAACGTTTATCATACAAATGGCTCAACCGTTGGATCGAATTGTATCTGTGGTACTTTCCCGACCAGTTCATTCCCTGTAGTCAAATTGGAGAACGGGGTGTAGGGATTAGCAACATCGTCGTCTTAGCTTGAAAGTCGGGCAAGTACACTGAGAGTAGTGACTTCATTTCCAGAGTTTCCGAAGTTCGCCGGACGGTCCGTACGGTAGGTACGGCCACTGCCGCCCAACTGAGTGCCTCACCGTACGCAAGAACTTGTTAACTTCGGCTGTTCAGTGTAGTCACGCAGGTTGATCAGCGAAGACCTCCTCCAACCGCTGCAGCCCCTTGACCGTCATCGCGCATCTGAAACCGGATCAATCGGTTCAATATGCATCATGACATGACCCAAAGTGCACACCGGTTGCATTCCATCACGACTTCATCTTGTTTCCTATTTTTGGAGCTTCGCTTGTTTCCCTGTTCCTCGTTTTGTAACTGGATGATTGGTGCAAGTGTTCCGCCACATTCTAAGGAATCCTCGCAGATAAATTGCATGAGATAAAGGAATCAGGGACAACATGAATAAAAGCATTCACCGGCATCCGTACACGAATATTTCGCCAAGTAAAGCAATAGAGCGTCAGCCTCCTCCGATTCAGAGCCTTCGTTCCGGCCTTCATGAACTCCAATCTCTTTTTCAATCTTGCATCGCTGGCAGTTGCAGACAAAGCCTGACTGAAAATCAACGTTTCTCGGGCTCGTTATGATCGCGACACCATATTCACTGCGAAGTCGTTTCTGACGATGGACAAGGTCTGCAGCAATGCTGGTGTAGCTTCTGTGAACATACTCACGTTATCTAGCACAGTGTCGGATAGTATTGTAGCTCACATGGAGATTTCTGTACCAGCTTCCATTGGATACATAGCACGCAATTGCACCCGAGAGTTGGGAAGGGGTATTGGTTCATCAATGACGAACGGGGGAAGGGAAAAGTCCTGACTTTCTTCGTCCCAGAAATCAAACCTTGCAACATTGGGCGAGCAATCATGATTGACAAAACTGATGTGCAGATCAAAGGTCTTAGGAAACCAATTCAAAATATGATCCCTCTCACCTTGCTGTAGGGTAAATAGCAGTCGCACGAAGGAGCATGTTCGCATCCGAATACATTCGGTGCCCACGAGAGAGAATTGCCATTCCGTTACTGCCTTCCCTATTCAACAAAGATTCTATCTGTATTGGAACGTCATGCAAAAGATCAAAACTCAGATTCCGAATTGACCTCCTTCACATCAAGAGCCTTTCCCTCCAAAAGCTGGCTCAAGTAAAAATGCAATCTCTTGGAAGCTTTCTTGTTAGGGAACATTTCTTTTTTTTCCAGTTTGCAACTTCCTGTCGCGTTATCCCAGGGTGATGAAAGGTTGAGAAGCGATTTCCACTGAATAGGACAGTAGTCTTTGATCAGTACTGCCTTCATTGACCATCAGAGCCAGGAAGTTGCGACAGTTTCGACATCGATTCACCTTCAACAAGAATCGGATGTAACTAATATCTTCCTCATTTCTGTGGATCAAAACGTCATTCACGTCTCCGAGATCGATCACATATTCATATACTTTCTCAATCCCCGTACATTGGGAAGCAATTTGAGTGCATCACATTCAAATTGAGAATGGCAACTGGAAGGATGACCCTGACTTCGCGAATCCTTGGAGCATTTTTCACTGCAGAACCAAACTTGATTGCACTCTTTGCAATGATACTGGAAATCTTCACTGTGAGATATGCAAAATGAGTCTGTTCTCAAAGAGGGAGGTGATCATACCTGCTATTATGAGGCATCCGGTAGCAAACACCACATACTCTTCTTTTCATGTTTTCCTCCATGTACACCAATGCAGGTTGTTCCTGAAGGAGAAGTTCTCCTCCAGTTACACTACGGGTGAGAAAAAGACCCTTTCCTTTTTCCGTTTGCCTCACCTCAAGAGGAAACGATCTATGCGTAATTATCAGCAATCGACCAACTTCAGGAGGTGAAATAAAATGCTACAAAAGGTTTCGTTTCTACCAAACGAGTTGTTGTTATCATCCTTGTTTTGAGCAGCATGAAATAGCAAGAGGCTATGATTTCAGCAAACCCTCTTTCTCTTCGTCTCTGATCAGATGTCTACTTGCCCTCCTGCCTTTTACTTACCGTTCCGAGGGCGAAAATGCGGCCATGATCGCCGGGCTTATCAGAGCGTTATTTCTGTAACCGTGGAGTCGAGCTTGATCGGACCGGCAGCGCGCACCGGGCCGCATGCCGGAAGTCCTCAACTTAACGGTAAACGCAACGGTCGGGGATTCTGCATGGCAAACCCGAGATGGGAAGGAGGACGAAGTTGAGGTAGATCTGAGAGCGTCGACAGGTCAATATCGAGCGTGTCCGGTAAAAAAGCGTCTGCTGCAAGATGGAAGGGAACAGGGTAGCTGGTCTCCTCCCCTTGCTCGTCTCTGGGAATCAGGGCGAGAGGTCAGGAGCCACGATGGTACTCCGAGAGATGGAAACACAACCAGGTTTCAGTGCTCATCTGCTGGAGATTGGTGCACGTGGTGATGTGGGTGCTCAAGTTCGGTGGTTGGCAATGATGTATCTCAAGAATCAAGTACACCGGTTCTGGGTCAAGAGGTCCGGCATCCCCTATGAGATTGAAGCTGCAGAGAAGTCCGTTATCCGTGAAAACATCCTCCCCCTCTCGCTGGACGTCGACGACTCCATCGCAAACCAGTCTGCACTGATTGTGGCGAAGATCTCACGGTTTGACTTTCCCAAGGTCTGGCCGAACGTGCTCGAGAATATAATCTCTGCATTGCAGGCAGTTTCGAGCGAGAGTGACATGGCTGATAGTGAAGACAAGGTTCGTCGCTGCAACCGCGTCATGCGTGTCTTGCATTACAGCATCAAGGACTTGAGTTCAAAACGATTGGTTTCCGATCGTAAGACATTCCTACAGCTCGCTCCAGCTGTGGTTGCTGCTGTGGTCCAGCTATGGTTCATTTTCCGGAGCAAGTACATATCATCCTGGTCAACTCAGAGTGTCTCTGAGGGCATCATACAGGGGCTCGTGCTCACTGTCAAGACATTGAGAAGACTCTTAGTCTCGGGCTTCCAGAAATTGCATTGCGATGAGCAGGCTACCTCAATCGCTGTTTCTGTTTCTCAGTTCTTTCGTGACCTCGTAGCTTCTACGGGCAACACAAGCGCCTCGTCTTCTGGCACTTTGGAGAGAGTGGCGTACTTTCACGGAAAGTTTGTTCATAATGTATTAGCAGCACAGCCCTTGGCTCTAGTCTCCGAGGTAGATGGCATGTTCGTGCATTATTTCTCTCTCTGCGATATTTCAGTTTCTCCAAGAATGATCACTCCAAAGCTGCAAATTGTTCTTCTGAGATGTTTGCACGCTACAGTGTCTTCTAGCAAGTTCATTCCAAGTATGCAGGGGATTTCAAGAGCTGGAGATGACCCTGTGCTACAGCAGTTCATTGAAAATGTCAAAAAGAACCTCGTTGCAGATGGCTTGATGAAAATTATCAGAGGAATGACATGCCAATTTGTAAAAGTCAAGGCTGAAGAGGTGGAGGAGGTGCTGGAGGCGGGCGTGAACCAGCTTGATGCGTTCGAACGGGACGAGGAGGATGAGTTGGAGTCCGCTGGGATGAGTGAGTGTGGTCCGGCTGCGTACTTTGCTCTGTCCATCATCGATGCACTGCTGTGTCGGTATGGCTCGACTGCTCTGCATGTTCTAGTCTTGTTGCAACGTGAGGCGTTGGAGACAAGCTCCCTCTTGCCGCCGCAGTCGGTAGAAGCCGATCTAGTCAGAGAAGCTTGCTACCATGTTATCGGCTCTGCTTGCGTGACCATGATCAAAGCTAAAGATTTGTTCGAGCAAGTTGTTGTGGTGGACATGGCGAAGTCGTATCTACAGAATGAGTTTGAAAGATTTTACGGACAACAAGGAGAAGCGCATCCGACACTTATCCTTGCACTTCGACGTGCTGTTTGGATGCTTGGGAAGCTAGTGCAGGCGGATGTCAGTGAGGAAGGCGGGGGCATAAAAAAGGGGAATACGCAAGTTTCTCCTCTCCACTCATCTCTTGTGCCTTTGCTCTACTCAGCGCTTGAATTTCCTTGCACTGCTGTACAGGTTGCAGCCGCGGCGAGCTTAGGTGATATGCTGCGCTGCTGTTGGCGATTAGATTGACAATCGATGTATTGCAGTGGTCGAGCCGGAAGCGTCGGATGATTGGTTTGATCGAGCTAGTCTATTGCTTCCTCAAGGAGATGTGCACTGTTTTCTTCCTGCCGTGTGTTCCACTATCCTCAAGGTTCCACTTTTCTCACTTGCCTGTTGTTCGAAAATGCTAAATCACAAAGTCATGTTTAAAGATGTTCGACGGACCTGGACCAGTGTCTTACTTACAGATGATTTAGGTTTCCTCGGCCGAAGATAGCCTGGAGGTGAAGAACGTTGCCGTAAGCATGCTGCGAGGGCTGGCAAGTCAAATCGATCCGAAGGTGATGATAAAGATGATGCCAAAGAAGAAAAATACGGAAACGATGATGAAGATGAAGATGATGAGAAGGAGCAGGTGGAGGTGGAGAGGATCATAGCTGATGCATTGCAGAGTGATCAGGGCTCAAGTTTTTTCCATTTTCTTCTTCCTACCATCAGCTCCCTCTGGCTCATAATCGGCTCTGAAAGAAGATTACAAGTCTCTCTGGTTCGAATTGATTTCACCCATACTGTGTTGATCGGTTGACTCTGCAAGTGAAGCTTCATGTCATCCTGGATTCTGCGAATGAAGATGTAATGTCAGCAAACCCTGACATCTTCTGTCAAATTATCGAGGCGGCTCTTGCGCAAGAGGTATGCTGACATTGTTCCTATCCATTGATGGAGTCATGAATGGTGAGTGATCGCACCAGGTGTTGAATGAGGCATCGTCTCCAGCAGGAGGAGGAAGCGTCATTCTTATGGAGACTGCTACGGATCTCTGGTTGAAGCTGATGGTATAGCAGTGCAAAGTCTGAACTGCTTGATCGTTTACACTCGTGAACAGAGCACTGCTTCTTCTGTTGAAAAACATATTTCTCTCTTCGCTCGCATCCTCCCTGCGATCCAAGTTTCTCGTGGCCCAAGAGAGACCATCCTGAGAGTAAGTGAAGCAGGAAGAGTGTTGGAGGGTTAGTTGCACGGCGAAGATGAGAAAGAGAGGGAGGAGGCAGAGTTCTAGGACAACAAGCATAGGCATCACTAAAGTTTATGCACGAGCAGGTCATGGAAGCTTATCTTCTACTGGGGGGTTGGAGCGATGCCAGCACGTCATGTTGGAGCTTTCCTACCTCCTTTCCACTTCTTGCAGGGAGATGAACCTTCGCGAGGTGCTTCTGCTGTCCCTCCAGCTCTTGTAACGTCAGGTCGTGTGACAGCTGAGATGGTCCCTCAACATATGTGAAATCTCGCTCGCCCTGGGACCCCGCGAAGTTTACGACAAGTTTGCTGGTCTTCTCATGGTTGTTTTCTCGTTGTAGTGTCTTGCAGCCTCCTTCTTCTCAGCTGCTCTATTTGTTTTTCTCGTCCACTCGATCGTTGCTTTTGTCTGCCTACCTCATCTCAAGCATTTCATTGCCAGGTTGCTACCGCGCAAGTGTTACTGCACAAAGCTGGGGATACAGTCGCTGCTGCTCTCTTTTCGTGCCTTGCAGGTCTACTACGGATAGATGACGATGACTGAGATTATGACTATGACTATGACTATGACTATGACTATGACTATGACTATGACTATGACTATGACTATGACTATGACTATGACTATGACTATGACTATGACTATGACTATGACTATGACTATGACTATGACTATGACTATGACTATGACTATGACTATGACTATGACTATGACTATGACTATGACTATGACTATGACTATGACTATGACTATGACTATGACTATGACTATGACTATGACTATGACTATGACTATGACTATGACTATGACTATGACTATGACTATGACTATGACTATGACTATGACTATGACTATGACTATGACTATGACTATGACTATGACTATGACTATGACTATGACTATGACTATGACTATGACTATGACTATGACTATGACTATGACTATGACTATGACTATGACTATGACTATGACTATGACTATGACTATGACTATGACTATGACTAGACTATGACTATGACTATGACTATGACTATGATTGTGACAATGACTATGACTATAATTGTAGTTGTGACTATGACTAGACTATGACTGTGACTATAATTATGACTATGACTAGACTATGACTGTGACTATAATTATGACTATGACTAGACTATGACTGTGACTATAATCGACTATGACTATGACTATGACTATGGCTATGGCCATGGCTATGACTATGACTATGACTATGACTATGATTGTGAGAAGGGCAAGGAAGGATGTATTGATATTTTTCATTGACATGTTGCAGGGTTGACCTTCCTGATCGGATCGGAAGAGCCGATTATGGGAATCCTTGCAGAAGTGAGGTTTTTGTTCACACTGTGCGTCTGCTGAACCTTATCCTCCTTGTCTGTCTGCCTCTTATTTTCTGCTTCTGATCACCTTCACTGGGCAGGTGAACAAACAGGAGGGAGCGCACGTGTCGATAGAACAGTTCCTGGACGTTTGGCTTGAGACTTGGGACGCGTGCTTGACGCTCGAGCGCCGAAGGGTACACCCCTTGCACTTGTCATCTGTCAGGTACACTTAACGTCCGGCAGATCAACTGCCTGGGTCTCGCCCGGCTTCTCGGCTGTGGCTCGCCTCCTTTCGCGCAGAGGGTCTCAGTGATCCTCAACTTCTTCGTCGACTTTAATGGAGAGGAGCTCGTCGAGGATGACAAAACCTCCTCCTCAAGCTCCTCTCCTGTTCAGCGCTGTCGCAAGCAGCTGTAAGGTCCTGCTTGTGTCTGTCCCCTCCCTCACGCGTTCTCTCTCCTATTCCTCTTGGCAGATGGAAAAGTTGCTATGCACAGGCGGGAGGGCTTGCTGCCTTCTTTCGTAGCATGATGGAGCAGGTGATAGTTGCAGCCCTTGGCCTTGTTTCATTCGTTTGCAGGGGAGGATGAGCGCCCTGAGTAAGTACGGGGAGGAGGGGAGAGCATTCTTTGACCAGAACCTCAAGTGAGTTTTCCCTTGTCCTGTGCTTCCTCCTGAAACTTTTACAGCTTGATTGACCCGCAACTGATGTTGCAACTAGCATAGGGAGCTAACGGCCTGCCATGAAGCTGTTCTGTCGCATTCCTCATGCCATCACTGTCTAGATCACACAACGTCCCTCTGATGAAGCGACAAGACACACGTCACACGCCCCTCGCCCCCCTCCCCTCCTGCAAGGCATCAATTCTTCTTCTAGGCGCATCTCCTGGGGAAGCAGGGGGTTGGTGATGTGGGCCCAACCCTCAGCTCCTTCCCGCCTTTTTCGCCTCCCATGGTTCCTTAAGTGTTTGATTAACCCTCATTCCTGCTGTCCGCCCTTCCTCTAATCCCAGCGTCCTACTGCTGCCCGCAAATTCTTGATCAGGAAATTCGTAGCGTTTCAAAGACTGAGTCTCACAGCTGAGTGATACATGAAACAAACTATTTCTTTGAAAGACTTAGGCCTGAGCTACAAAGTTCATCCCACAACGATACTACAAGAGCCAGGGCTATAACGAACGCGGGCCAAGAGTCAAGGTGAGAAAACGCATGTGCTTTGATAACAACAGAGTTCTTCAACGACTAGAATTAGAACGAATTGAATCCTGGTAAACAATAGATGTGGTGGATCTTGGATAACCGAAAAAACGAAATTCCAACATACCAGACAGAAGAGAACAGAAAGAAGACGATCTGATCATAGTAATCACACTAAAGAGCCCGAGCATTGCTGAAGGCAACTAGGGCAGCTACAAGTACGCATGATGCTCTAGGGGCACGGGGACGATAGCACAAGCTCCAGGCCACAGCCGGTCCCGTCAGCCTCTGCAGCTGCGTGAGTGTGCTTGTGCCATTCTCAGCTTCAAGACAGATCCTACAGACGAGGCGCCTGCTCGAGGCGGGGACATGAGACGTACGCCAATAGGCCAAGGCAGGCGTGAGATGCAGGAGTCTGCATGTATATACATCACTCGCGACAAACTGCTCCCTGTACACACTGCGAGCTCGGTGCTGTCCGGGGGTAAGAAGGATGCAGGTGCAGGCGACTGCGACAGTGGAATGGCCCCTGGGGCTGCTGCTACGGACTGGCCGCTGCTCTCCGCTGTGGTTGTCATCGCATGACGTGCCGCAGAGCCTCGCCCCAAAGCTCCTCCCTTGACATGTGGATGGGTCGGGGCAGCCCCGCTCCCTCGCTCCAGCTGCTGTATGCAATGCCTATCGATGCCCGAGCCT